ATCTGTAAGTTCTTCTAATCGTAAGTGCTAAATCTCCTTTAATGAGGCAATGATAGAGTCGATGATGTGAATTTTTCATACTTTATACATTTTTTGACTGACTTATTGACTGGTAAAATGACACATATAGGGTTCAAAGCTGCCTTTATCACTGATTATGTCCATATTGCCTTGTCATGGATCTGTATACTATAAAGAATTACGTGGCGATGAATCTGACATATTAGCAGCTCCCGAAGTCGCAAGCCTTCAGTAATATCCGTGGCATTAAAATACATAGCTTTTGCTCTGATCTATACATGGCGATCCCTTAACGATGGGGAGACCGAATGTACATGTAGCATGGACAGTAAGCATTCCAACAGTACATGAAGCATAGCTTGAATTGTTAATGGCTCACCACGCATTTCCCTTAAAAGTTTAATGATTAGCGTATGTCCTCTCAAGTTTAAGAAGGGTCAATGCTTCCCGCGCTAACTTTTTATAATGATACTTCCCCGATCAAAGGTGTAAAGTCATTTATAGATGATATCCTTTGCAAGCCAAGCCTTTGTCCCTCGTCCAATCTATTACGTAATCCCTCGTTCCCTATACGTCATTTTAGCTTACGTCACTAATGAATTGTCGTCAATTAATGTACAATAACATCATGATCTGTCCCAGCTGTTACAACGCCAATAACAAAAGGAACAATAATAACAAAAAACGTCAACAACAAAATACGTCAACAACAAAAGCAGCAACAGTAACATCAACAACAACATTATACTTATTAAAGTTACAAATTAAAGAAAGCCTCGAGTTAAAAATCAAGTAGCACATTTGTCAGAGCACCGCGTTAAATGATTATCTTTCATAGAATAAATTGTAACTTTATTACTTTTTAATGTAGGCCTGAACACGGGACAAAGTTGGCTTTTTCCTGTGAAATAACTATGAGAGCAGCTTTAAAAAGATAGCATATAATATTATTATTCTCTCCCGCGACCTACGTGCAATACGAGAAAGTCGAAAAAAGGCTTTAGTGTGTCTTTCAATCCCACACGATATTTTATTCTTGCCTTTTTTAGTCATACCAAAAGAAACTCTCAGGAAAACTCAGTTTCACTATTGACATTGCGTTTGACCCCGTCTTCCTAGTCAGGCCAAATAAGTTCACTTTACAGGCTAAATCCAATTCCAGTCCCAAAAGCACACCTTTCAACAGTCTAATACAATCTTGTCTGAAATCATATGAATTATTTCCAGAAAAGAATTACTACATGGATTGAATTCATTTGATGTTTAAAAGAAGGATTTGTTAGATGTGTACAGTCATGACATAGATGATAGCGTATTATTTCGCCGCAAAAGAAATTGAATTTATGATGTTATCAAATCACAGCCATCATGACCTTGTTATTAATGGATAATACAGAATTTGTTAGTTATGTCATATGTTAAAATACATCTCTTTCAGATTCTTTGTTCTCCTGATTCATTTTGTTATATGTACATTTAAGTGTATTATTTCATCAAAATCTTCGGAGTCGGGGAAAGGGGATTTCTAGATATTAATATAGCAAGAATAGAAATAAAGACAAAAACTAACACGAAAACAGTATATTTCCTCAAAAGAAGATGTGTGCCATTTGCTATTTCTATAGTCATAACAAGGAATAGAAAGTGAGTCGAATTTGAGCGTTCTAAAAACTACTAATTTGACTCGAAACTTTTGCATTAATATTTTCAAAAGCAATTAAGTTCATTTGTGTAGTACACCAACCTTTATGGAAAGCTACAAGACACATCGTCATGAGACATGGGCATGCGCAGTAAAGGTGACACACAGGAGGGGCCGAATATTCTGTCATTAAAAAGCTTTTAATTACCATCCTGCTTCAGGATTATTCTGCATATCCTGAGTCCTATTGCTCTCTGTCTCCAATCGTCGCTTCTCTTCTTACGTAGTCTTGCATTTTACAGACTCTTTTCTATAACAAGAAAGTGCATCAGACCACCCCCTGGCTTTCTATGCCTTAGTGTCGTTATTATTACTATCTTGCATTTTATTGTATTTTGAACTTAAATTTTGTCTATGAAATTATTAAAAAAGATGGGTGGTTATGGAAAAAGGGGGTGCAAATGCTCTCATCGGTTCATTGATTCATTAGTTGTTTTTTCTGTAATCAGGAAAGTAGAAAGCACACGGTTGCCCATTAAGTTGGAATCATTGTATTTTTTTAAAACTTCAGTCTTTGTAATTGTGACAATATGGTTTATATCTATACTTACATAGATCTAAAGTTTATATCTGCTCAAATTTTATAGATCACTCTAAAGAGCCATGACAATTTATTTATAACGTTCTGATAATATATCAAGTTTAAACCATATTATCACTATGAACTTCATGAAGAAAAAAAATATATATATGATAATATATCTTTGTTTTGACTCTTTGAGCTGTCGGTCTCTTGGGCTGCCGATCTACCGGGATGACCGGTATTCAGCCTCATACAGGTTGATTTTCAAATTTCCGATGAGAGAAGACAAAGACTTTAGGATATGTTAAGAAAGAGGATAGAAAGAGGGGAAGAGGGAGGGGAGAGAGAGAGAGAGAGAAAGAGAGAGAGAGAGAGAGAAAGAGAGAAAAAAAGAGAAAGAGAGAGAGAGAGAGAGAGAGAGGGGAAGATGGAGAGATAGATAGACATATAGAGAAAGAGAGAGATGCATTCATTTCAATCGGTAGGATGCATACAAATAATGCAGTTTTAGATGAGCCACATGTTTTCCCCCATCATTATTGTAAATCTGTATTCCGGAAATGAACCCTCGTCACACCCAACAGTACATGCCCGCCCACACACCAAGAACTATCTGGTCACTAGAACTAGACATTGCAACATATTTTGTCATCATTATTTAGGCGCGATGAGGGGGGGGGGGGGGGGGGGGAAGAGGGGTTACTTCATAGGCTTACATCAATCATAAACTGTCCTACGATAAAGAATACAAATTAAATCAAATCAAATCAAATTAAAATCATTAAATCCGCTTTCACAATTTTTGATTATTTTAAATATACAGTGTGTCCCAGAAAAAACGAAACCGAGAATTATCGATGTTTTATCATAACTTAATCACAATTATAATTAATAAATGACACATATTTGTAAAGATTAAGTCCTCTTCTTTCATTTGATGCAACTCATATGATGCATATTTCATGCATGAGCGATTAAAATAAATTTGAAGAGAGGGAAGCAAAAAGTCATTCGGCGGACGGTATCTGAATTTCAAAGAGAAAATCACATTTCTACAAAGTCCAGTTTCTGCCCTTTCATAATTATGACCCCTCAATAAGGAAAAATATACAAGGAATAACAAAGTTCTGTTTGTTTAGAGTAAGGCTTGCATTTCCATAATTTTATTAAACGAATTCTTTTTTTCACTGGCTGCTTGTTGCCGTAGCAAGAAACAAAATTGACAAAAGACTTAAAGGGCCACTCTAACCAAAATGGGCTAAAAATGGAGAAAAAAAGACATGTAGAATAAAATTTGACGGAGATTCCGAACATGACAATGATTTTCTTGGAAATCATCAGTAATTCTGGAATCTAGCTTTAAAAATGACGACTCAGAACGCCAAGAAAAAACACATTTTCGGAGCTGTATTGCGCAATAGTATATGACGTCACTGCCTCTCCGGTGAAAAGGAGGGTGATTTAGGCATTAAAATATCTTTAAAAAGGCAAACCATGATATTAATTGAGGATAAAAAAGACATTAAGTTTATGCGAAAAATAATATGCACTTGATAATCCCAGTACGTTTCTGGCAATTTCGTCATTCCTAATTATGAATTACAATCAGATTGTAAGATCCTTACAGATCGGACATTCCCGCAATGACGTCAAATGTGTCATCAAGCCACGTGACCGTATTACCTTTTTTCGAGGGGCGTAGCCCAGCAAGCGTGAGGTCTGTGAAAAGTGGATGGTTATTATCATTTTTTTGGTCAATTTAGAGATTTTCTGAAAAATCAGAGGCTGGAATATTAATAAGTAGAGGTCTATTCATGTTTAAAAAGGCTATGTTAGTTGGGTTAGAGTGGTCCTTTAACTCCGTTTCGTTGATGATCAGCCAAGAAGAAAAACTTCATGCATGGCTGATTATAAACGAAACAGAGTTAAGTCTTTTGTCAATTCTGCTTCTTGCTACGGCAGGCAACCAGTAAAAACGAATTCGTTTAATAAAATCATGGAAATGCAAGCCTTACTTTAAACAAAAAGAACTTTCTGACAACTAATGTAGATAATGATTAAAAAATGGTGTATAGCTAGTTTGTAAAAAATTCCGACAACCAGAAACAGAAAAGCCGTTCAAAAACATCAAACAAATCTATCCCCCCCCCACAAAAAAAACCCAAAAAACTTCAGGTTATAAGAGACCTCTAAATTTTAATATTGTGTGATAAGTGTAAAGGTTTTCTAATATCTACAATTTCTTTAATAAAGATCAATTATCTTTCGAGGACTAAAATGGAGGTGTCATGACATTTTAGCGATGCCCCTCCATATATCTTGTCTTAGATGGTTCCATAACTTTGGTCTGTATTTCGCGACTATTCTTTACCCCCTTCAAGCTCTGCTTTGCGAGTTCCTGTTTATACCATATTTCTTCTATCCATTACCCGGGAGACCATTTATTCTCACCTCTACATTCGGCTGTTGTGAACGAGGCACCGACTCGATCTGTGCGAGACAAGGCTAGACCTATTAAAGAGGATCCGCTCTTTTTTCTTTTACCAGAAGTTGAAAAGTTTTCGCTTGAAGCGCACGCGACGAAAACTCTGTCTTTACAAACTCTGCCGGTAGCTGCAGAGCAACGCTCATTCTGGTGGAAAGAGTACCTTTGGACAAAGCAAGAAGAGCGGAGTTCCACAGCTCTTTGGGAGTACTTTTTTGATTCCCAGAATACTTGGGAGAATTTATTTTTACGGTCTCTAATTTGACAAAATGCAATTCGGAGTACCACTTTTGGTCCTCTGTTTGGCCCTTGGCTCAACAGAGGCAACGATTTCTCTGAAACTCGTCTCCAGACTTTATCTACCTTTTGACAAGTTGCCAGTCGGAGGAGGGGCAGGTGGGGCAGGAGGTGCCGGTGGTGCCGGAGGAGGCGGTGGAGGGGGTGGTGGAGCTGGAGGTAGAGGAGGTGGTGGAGGAGGAAGAGGACAGACCGGCGGCATGTATGCCCTGAACAATGGCGTCGCTTTCAAATCAGCTTATGACATGGACAAACAATTGGCATACGTGGGAGGTAAGAATAAAAACCTTTTTTCTTGATGCGGTGTGTATTTTAAACGAATAATGTATTTTGTTTCAAGCCGTTTGGTTTGACGTTTGTTTTACCCTGACTGCTGAGAAAGTATGCGTATGCTTGTAAATTAAAAAAAAAACGGTGGACCGATGGCTTTAAATCTTCTCCGAGAGACTTGTATGAGGATTAATGCCTTACCAAATTGCACTAGCACGTCGAATTTGTTACGCACCCGGGACCTCCCGGTTTCGAGATCACTGCTATACCACTAAGCCATCACACCTTATGTCGCTCGCAATTTTATTCACCAGAAATTACTTCAATATCTAATCTTTTTTTTGTGTGGTTATGACCTTTACTTATAGCTAAAGTTTAAAGTGAATTCGCCTCACCGCGATACTTTAGAAATACAGATTACATTATCTTGGAGTAATGAGGATTCTACCTAAGAATTCCTGAGAGGTAGTTGACAAATCTGCCCCAAAAAGAAGAAGAATATCTACCGGCCTAACAAAATACAAACAAAATGTACACACACACACACACACACACACACACACACACAAACTAACTAACAAACCAAACAGCCTTCCTGGGACCGGAGAGATACTTTGTTAATAGACTAAGAACTGATTAATGTGCGAAAAAAAAAAAAAAATTTGTGTCAAAATAGAAAGAAAAGGAAACATTTTTGAGACCTTTTTCAGACCGCCCGGTCACTCATTCCTAGACTATTTAGGAAATGGTTCTCATTTCCCTTTCTCCTTGATGTTTATACTGGAATTTAGTAATGCAGACAATAAGGGGAAAGGCGGGGTTGAACTTATAGGTGAGATCAATTTGACCACGAACCTTTGTGTTTGTAATCCCATAATCACATGGACATTTAAAGAAAGTTGAGATGAATTATCATCGGATATATTTTGTTCATTTTTAGGTATCTTTGATCATTAACTTCCATTTTTTGAAGCTCTCACCTAATAATCCAATATCTTCTCTATTTTAAGAATTTGAATCGGTATAAGCTAGCTTTGATAATTTTCTCCGTTTGAATGTATTGAAGCTGATCAGTCCACAATCAGCCTTTATATAAAAAGAACCTCAGTTAGCTTATTATTTTGAAATTATCTTTCTCTATAATTATGCTAAATATCACTTAAGCTATTAAAACAAGTTTTACACATTTTCGGACAGAATAAATATGTATCTTTCAATTTCAGCCGATGAAATCGATTTAGCTCAGATTGTGAACAGAAATATTTTAATAACTCTGTTGTGAAATAGCCTAGTCACCTAAAAGGCATGACAAAGCATGTTGGTTTATTTCAGTACCCGGGGAGTGAGGGGAGGGGGAGGGGGTCTGCCAACAAGTTCTAGAATGTTGTAGAATGATGTAAGTCATTTCCTGTCTTTCTTAAGATAGACCCGATGACAATGATTCATTTATTCTTGTTTTTTTGCCGTCGTCAAGTAGGTGAACATAAGATAGAACGGTATAGGCTATACCCATATAGTTCTGTCAACTGATTTAATTTGAGAATAAAACAGTTTTAGTATCGTTTGTTGTTGTTGTTGTTGTTGTAATGGATTAAAAGATGAATGAGAACATATTGTAATACACTTATGACTCCTAGCAATACTGAATTTTAAAAATCTCAACATGAGGATAATTATGTATGATATCAACAATATCACTTTTAACCAAATAGTAAGAACATATTTGACACCTAAGCCCCCAAACATCCTATTTCGGATTTGGCAAAATGCATGTCCACTTACCACACCCAAGCTTTAACCAATCATTTCTACCCGTTCTCAGTTATTTTATATAATAATAATAATAATAATAATAATCTTTTAAAGTCCACTCCAAAATTTATTAATCCGAAAATGGAAATTCTTTTTGCCCGATTGATCGTGAGCCACTGCTTTTACATTTCATATATTTTTTCACTGTTTTTACTTTAATATTATGTTACCTTCCGATACGCATTCTTTATGATTCAATAGCAGAGGGTTAATACCACAAATGTTGCCTCGATGTACAATATATCTAGCCCCATGCATTGGGTTATATAAACTAGGAGGTGATCACTTTGAAATTTGGATGGGATAAATAATAAGTAACGGATATGCGTCAGCGAAGATAAATCGAGGGATATAATTTCGATATAATGATTTGAAAACAGTCCCAGGATAAACATATTATTGTAATAAAGTTATTAATTCTATTTGCATGGTAGGGGGCGAATGAGGGGTTTCCTATTATATCAGCCATATGCGTACAGGCACATTTTCGACCCCCCTCTCTTGCCCAAGTATAAACTTTTCAGTTTATGAATTTTGGTGTGAGCGAGTACTACACAAATACATTTTTATTATGTTATAAATGCGTTGTCGTTATCAAAATACACATGATACGATAAAAAAGTGCGATGAAAATTATGAGTAAATATCCGGTCACTTCGATGCTTAGCATAATGACTATACAAGAAAATTGGTATAAATATATATATATTGGGGGGGGGGGGAGGGGGAGGGGCGTAGATCCGCTGCCTCTTTATTTCAAAATACGAATTCACTTGACTCCTCGAAAGGGTGCAGCCAGACGGAGATAATTAGCTTAATTAATTATATCTTAGTAATACTTCAAAAACTGCAATAGTTTTCGTGAAATTTTGGTCTAAATATAAACGAAGTTGATATGAATAGGATATGATGAAATCACCTATATTCTACATACAATTTGCAACGCAATCTGTAATCCAGTCTTCTTATCATCATTCATTAAGAGATCTGCTGCAGTCGTAGAGATTAAATATGTAATTCTATTCCTTCCGCACGTCAGCGTATTTTATTGCAAAAATATAGCGATGTTAAGAATATATCGAATGAATTCCAATATAGAACCATAGATAAGCAATCTACTGGATACTCATAAGTAGCCTAAAGCCTTAAGAATTGCTTCATGTTTTCAGTAACGGATTAAAATGTTCGTAATCAAATATTATCTTCATAACACTTACATTTAAAACTTAATGAAAACTTAATGACGGGTAGCAAGAAACGGGAAATATGATGTCGCATTCCTACAAAATCCAAAGAGATTTTTTATTTTAAGCCAACGAAGACAATAAATTTCATAATTAGAACATCGTGTTCTTCTTCTATGCATCTTGCAATGTAATTTCAATTCATCCAGTGGTAATACCTATATCAAGCCTATAATTAGATAATTTGTATAAGGTATTAAATAGAAAGTAAAGGTTTAGAAATGATTAATTATGATTGCATTCCATAATTTTCACGAACTGATGTGTAACTACGTGCATTTTTTGTGAAGAATAGGGCGTGTACCATTAATCATCGTCGCGAGGTTTAGGAAACTTCAACTAAAATGGCCGCCATGTCCATGGGTTCAACGGCAAGTCATTAAGCTCTTGTCTTTGTTTGTGGATTAACAGGCATTAATAATTACTTACTTCCCATCACGTCTTATCCACTCATCTATTTTTATGAAAACATCTTCATGACGCATCCAAGAATAAGACCACGTGACCAGCATTTAGCAGGAAACACGTCTAAGAAAGCCAAGGGATGGTGACACATTTAGTAGTCCAACGAACACATGTACATAACTTTATACCACTAACGTTATATTAAAGTCCGATCCCACTTTTCTGATAAAGGTATCTTACCTATATTTATAAACCTACATGGTTATACAGGCTAAAGTTAGATATGTTATGTAAGTGAACAATGAAAGAGGGTGAAATCTGTATTCTAATCTATTTCAAACTCTATGAAAAATAATAGTGGCAAATTAGGTCCAAGAAAGCATTGTCTCTCTGTGTTCAGGATAGTTTGCATCTTTAATATCTTAATTATCATTTAATGTGATGTAATTTAGTTTGAAATTCAGATTTTTATAACAAAACTACAATCCCGAGGATCAGATTGAGATCAATTAAGATATAGACCCCATGCAGTTGATTATGATTATAATATTATTATTTTTATCATTATTGTCATTATCATTAAAATTATTATTATAATTATATCATAACAATTATTATTACTTTTATTATTGTCAATTTTATCTATGTACAACCTTGGATAAAAAAAATATAATATGAGAGCAAACTGAGACCAATTATGACCATATATTACTTTGAAGCAATGACATGCAATCTAACAATCACAAATATGTGTTTTTCCTTTCTTTTCAGGCGGACAATTTGTTCAGATTGTCGACTTTTCCGACGTCGTTCAACCCAAGGTAGTGAAACAGATCGCTACGGAGGGCCCAGTTGCAGACATTGCAGAATGTGGCGATTTGGTTGCGTTCACTCAGCCAGGAAAGCCTCACTTCACTGATGTAGGATCACTGAAGATCTATGAGAAATACAACCCAGCCACCATGATGATGAAAGAACTATGCTCTGTCGAAGGTAGAAAACAGAATTATGATAGATTTATTGATATTTCGTTCTTGTGTTCATTATCTCACTTGTCTATTGGATATAGGTGACTTGGAGTACTATCAATGCTTTAGCAACGCAATGGATTCGAACCTCGTAGCATGTCATCCACGATCCGAATAGAAGAGAATAGAAAAGAACAAAATAGAATAGAATAGAATTAATTATCTTCTCTTTATTGTAAACTGATGTGATGTTCTGTACAGAATATATTTTAATAGAATATAATGGAATATAACAAAATGTAATAGAATGGAGAAGAATAGAACAAAATAGGATATAATAGAATAGAATATAACAAAATAGAATAGAATAGAATGGAACAGAATAGAAAAGAGTAGAGTAGATTTAATTTCCGATTGTTTCTTTCAAAAAGAAAGAATTGCAAAGAGGCCACTTTCTCTCGTAACACACCAAACGATAATCTTTAACTTGAACCTTGCTGAATTTGCATGTCATTTTGGTTTTTCTTATGCACGATTCAACTATTCTTGGATCTTTCTCAAGTAATTTTCATGGCACCGTTGAGACATAGAAAGAAGAGTCACATGGTTTTGAGTGGAGTCACATGGGTGATGATGTCATTAGGGAATGATCTTGTGGGTTAACGTATAATAACTGACATCCGACCGAAGGTATATCTCTTAACCCATGGGAACAATCCCCGTTGTATAATGACAGAATGTGTATAGATAGACCGTCAAGAAGAGAGAGAAAGAGAGAAAGAGAGAAAGATATGTCTTCATCAGCTCGAGATTGCCAAATAGCCCGCTATTTCTGATTTGGGAAATAAGCCCGAAGTTACAAATCGCGTCCTCATCAGACCTCGAGAAATTAGCTCGAGATATTCTGCTCAGCGTTCGCGTATAGTGCGAATCTTCGGGCTGGTGAGGACGCACCGGACAAATAGCGGGATATTTTGCAGACTAGCCCGAGATATCTTAAGTTGGGATGACTATCTCGATTAAATATCCCGCTAATTGCAACTGCGGGCTGTTGAAGACGCAAATTAGCTGGATAATTTGCGATCGGGATAGCTAAAATAGTGGGTTATTTGACAATCTCGAGGTGATGAAAACAGGCCTGAAAGATAGAGATAGAGAGAGAGAGAGAGAGAGAGAGGGGGGGAGGGGGGGGGGTAGAAAAAGATAGAGTGAGACAAAATGAGAACGAAAAAAAGACGAAGAGAGAGAGAGAGAGAGAGAGAGTGAGGAAGAGAGAAATTTGTTCTTATTTACTTTTCTATTATATCTTTTTGTTTGTGTATAAATATAAATCATTTAATGACGATAACACATTGTTTTCATTCTTTTTAAATATCCAGTTGGTTCTCAGCCTATCGCCGTCCGCTTCGCCCAAGGTTGCAGCCTCATCATCGTCGCCAACGAAGGCGTGATGGGAGAGAACAACTATACTAAGAAATACGTCAACCCTGAAGGCACCATCACTACAGTTAGGCTAGCAGGTAAGTCCTATTTGCACAATTGGCCTCATTTGCTGACTTAGTACTGCGTCAGAGACTTTCATGGTTTTTTGACGGGCCGTTGGACATCATGACGTCTAACAAAAAGTGATACAAAATGAACAATAACACTGCTTTGAGTTATTGGCGCATGCAATTATCGCACTAGGGTTCATTTGGCGCAAGATATAACGTAACGGGGCTTGCGTCTGTTGCACCGCGAGGCATCATTTTTATCACTCCCAATAATGCAGATACCTCATACGCCAGTACTTCATCACAACGTTGTTCATTTCACTATTATATGTTTACGATGTCATACTTCCATTGCGCGTCTTTTTTGGCGCGTCAAAGATGCACCAGTCACTGACGCAATCTTACGTCAAATGACGCGTCCAGCTTTTTTTGGCGGGCCTGTTCCACAATGTCAACTGAGGTGATCTCTCAAACGACTGCCGACGGCTGTAATGGTCAGAGAAAAACATGTATGCTGAAAGACCGGACGCGACAGGATCACCCGACGACGATGCTTGCGACAAGCTACAATTACTTCCACCTAGTAAGCTCCAGGCCACGGCAAGCTAACACCATGCGACTCAGTCGTTGAGACATATGACGTCCAGTTTACAAGCAACGACAACAAACAGTTACATCAATGATAATGCAAACTGTAGTTGACCTGTAGGTCAAAACAAAACATGTCAAGCTTTTTATGTAAACAATAAACAACTGCAGACGACTAAGAAAAAGTAATTTAATTTTCAAAGCATTTAAAAACATTTGTATCACTAAACTTTCCGATTTTGACATTAATAATATACATCTAGGGTCACCAAAATAATGACTAATCAGTTATTAAATATATATTTTGTCTTCATTCTCATCATAGGTTCAGTTTCTAATGGTCCCAGTCAGCAGATCGTGAACACCACGTTTGGTGCTGGTGGTCCAATGATGACCACACCGATGGCTGGTTTCCCTCGTGGTACAACGTGGAGCCCTAATGCAGGAGCAGGTGGTCAAGGTGGTCAAGGCCAATACCCAGGACAAGGCGGTCAGGGCGGTCAGGGCGGCCAAGGCGGTCAAGGCCAATACCCAGGACAAGGCGGTCAGGGCGGACAGGGCGGACAGGGCGGCCAAGGCGGTCAAGGTGGCTACCCCGGACAAGGCGGACAGGGTGGACCAGGTTATTACCCCGGTCAGGGCGGTCAAGGCGGACAAGGCGGACAAGGCGGTACGTGTGATTATTATATGTTTTTTAATATGGTTTCTGGTTCAAAGCACAGCAACAACATTAATTATCCTTTATACGACATTTATCGGCAGTTGCCAATCCTTACTCAGGGGATGAATATGGAACTATAAGTATCCTGACTGAAGTCCCTTCTGTTTTTCATTTAAGACTATATTTATAACACGGTCACTCTCTATTTATCTCTCCTCTTTAATCATATTTGTAATCACGCTTTTCATTCTTCATTGCGCTATCTCTGGGTATGGCAGTTCATCAAACGTTTGATAATTTTTGTTGTTGAAAGTCTACTCATTTCATACATATTAATAAAAAGATAATAAAGTAGTTTTAATGATACATATATTTTCAATACCTTTACTGATTGTTCTGTTTACATTATCGGGTTGAAATACATTTTCAGTTTTATTTGGTAGCTATATAAGGGATTAAATCTCTTTGATATCTGATAATACTACAACTTTCGCCTCGATATTTTTTCGTATGATTATAAATATAATTTCAAAATGGCAAATTTCCATCTTTGTTACAGTCTTTATTAAATCAAATAATGTCACCGTCTAAACATTATTTATTAATATATTGCTCGCTTGGTTATGTTACTAAACATTTGAAAAGAAAACAATGTATGGAAATGAGATAAAAGGATGAAATAATCACTCAGCATGTTTTTTTCTTTTCCAGGATGGGGCCAGGGAGGAGGACAAGGCGGCCAAGGTGGTGGAAATAACCCTCAGTATCCCATGATTCCGACTACACCTTTACCCGGTACAATCTGCAATGGAACATCTACTATGAGCTACGTTGTCAATCAGATCAACTTCCACAAATTCAACGCACCAGCCGAGTAAGTCAGTTGAAGCAGGCCTCATCATCACCATCACCATCCTCATCATCATCATCATCATCATCATCATCATCACTATCATCACTATCACCATAATCATCATCATCATCATCATCATCATCATCACCATCATCATCATCACCATCTTCTTATTTTGTACGTGGCCGCAAGAAAAACGGAAGATAAAATATGACAAACATAAAGCAAATTGAACACAATATCAAGCAATTCCAAAAGTATTTGATATAGCACACTTTTCTTGAGCTACAAAGTTCTGCACAGATCGTTCTAATGTTTGAGCCTCTTAAACAAAGATAGGTTATAACATGATCCATGTTTCCGTGGAAATAAGTTGATGGTTTTTATTTTACTGAATGTAAAGTGATGCTGATCTGGTAAATATATTCCCCTTTCTTCAAACTAAAGTTACTATATTTAAAGGCAGGGTATCCTAACTGACACTACTTCACTGCTATATGCCGATGTGTCGACAGCCAGGTCACACAATGCATCATCAAATGATCACGCGCGCATGATGATGATTGGGGTACTGGTTACAGGAACCGGAAATCGCACCATATAAGCCATCGCAGAAAGATGGCGCATTTGGTGACACATAATAATGATAATAATAACATATTACATTTACAAAGCGCTTAATTCAATGCATCTAAGCGCTGACATACATAACATCAGTGGTGGCGATGTCTGTAAAATACCCTGCCTTTAACATATTTATACTCTTTTTGATAACAGGGTCCAGCGATTGAAAGCACTCCACGTTCGTCAGCCTTACACAGGTCAGTTGGGTGACCCTGGTCCACACACATTCTCACGAGGACTTGAACCTCGACACATCACACTGGATCAACAGGAACAGATCGCTTACATCAGCTTACAGGTATGAATAGACCTGCATGGGCTCGTGGCTTGAATGATATTGAAAATGCAGGGTCATGAAAACCATTCTAGCCGATGGAAAAAAGGAAAAATAAAAGAAATCAATTAACGAGAAAAGAAAAAGAAAGAAAAAGAGAAAGAAGAAGAAGAAGAAGAAAAAAAGAAGAAAGAAGAAGAAGAAGAAGAAGAATTAAGGAGACAGGATCCTTGAAACGGAAATTTGCGACATTATTTGGAAATTCACAATCATAGATTTGCTGACAGCCGTGGCAGATAGTGATACGTAGGGGCGGATTCAGAGGGGGGGGGGGGGGGGGGGGGGGTCATTCAGCCGTACTTGAAAATGAAAATATTTTGTCAACAGCATTTCCTGTCATTAATTTTCTACAATCCTTGTTAATCTCAGGAAAATAATGCCATCGCAGTCGTCGATTTGAATAACAACACCGTGATTGATATTCTCCCGATGGGTGTGAAGAACTGGAAGGGACTCAAGATCGATGCAAGCAGTGCGGATAGAGGTAAAGAAAGGATTTCTACCACTTCAAATCGGTGGGGACCATGATGGGGGTACCTGGATGGGGTGTGGTCCTTGACCTTGTAAAAGATAGAAAACCTGTCGCATAATGTTTTCATCGGCAAGATATAAAGCTCCTAACTTGGCCAGTACTGCCCAGTACAGACTGTGTATGAAGCCCCGGTGGGGTCTAGGATTGTACGACACTTGCTTCTGCAACAATTGCTTACACCAGCCGAAGTAATAACTTCAACACCGGTCGGACCCAACATTGTAATTAACCATGCCCTAACCCTAACCCTAAACCTGAACCCAAACTCAACCTAAAACCCTATGGCAATCTTAACACTAACCCTTCGCCTTTGAAGAAAAGAAAGCAAAGAGCTAATGTCGAAGAAGCAAATGTCGGGTCCCCGTTCAAATACTGCAATTCCAAACTTTCCAATTGTTTTGATTGAGCGAGCGAAACTAGTGACGAAAGAAATAGTGACATTTTTTTATCATAACAATGTAATTTGATAATTTATTTATTCTTTAATGAAATAAACTGAACAAAAAATATAGAAAATAACGAATAGGTCATCCCACAACCTCAATGTGAGAAGAAGTTTGCCCGAACATCGGTGATTTCGAAATTCCCAGGACAGATTCGTAGGCCTAAGTCTGTTATCTTTTTAGTAACCTTTTTAATTTTATAACTATTTTAATTGGGTTCTTTTTTTAATGAAACATTTTTTTTCTGCTCGTTTCTCTCCGCTGTAGGCATTTTGTTCCAGACATACGACCAGCTAAACAGCTTCCCCATGCCAGATGCAATCGAAACATACTACGACGCGATGGGAGATCTGTACGTGGTAACGGCAAATGAGGGCGCTAAACCTATGATGGCTCAGTGTTCCCTCGAAGTCTGCCCTGGCGGACCAGGAGAGTTCGAAGAAGTCGAGATTGGTGAAGAATTCATCGTGGAAGGTGAGGACTCTTCAAAGTTTACTTCGAAGTAAACTTCTTATTCAAAGATTACTGCTAAATAATTATTGTCGTATGAATATCCTGTTCAGTTTCAGTTCAAGCAATAATAATGGTAAGAATAATACAAACGTATTGAAAAAAAGCATAACTACATAAAATATATTACATCACTTTGATTTGCTCTTAATCAATTAAATAAACAGGACTAATTAAAATTTGAAATAAGGATATGAAAGAGTCTAAGGTAAAATCGTACTAGAAGCTTGTTTGTAGGCCCCACAGGGTAATAAAATATTGAAAGTCTAACAGAATTTTGGGAACGAACAAGTGTCAGTTGAAAAAGAGTAAGTAGATAAGCCGCAGTTAAGTGTGCATTGGGTGTAAATAACTAATCAGTATACTATATAACATCAAAGAGGACATCAATACTAATCAATAAAGTATGGAAAAGAAAAGAAAAGCATGAAATATTAATTCGATGTTAATAATTGTATGATCATAATAATCGACGAGATATGTTAAACTGAATATGCTAAAAACGACCTTGGAGGGTCTACCAAAACATAGACACCATGCATTAAATCGTATTTGTTTTCTTCTTATTTTTTCCTCCTAGAGCTACTTCCCCAACCCGTGATAGACAGTCCCCTGGGACAAGCAATGGCTGAAGAGACACAGTTAGGTGAGTTTGTATTGAAGTCTGAAATTCAAAACATGTGTATTGGCCGCATTTTTGTATATGCCATACAGGTAAAATCTATCTTAACAACACACCCTGGCCTCATTAACTACTCAATACACAATGATCCAAGCGTTCATGCGCTACCATATATTCAATGCAAACACATTGCTGAGGATAAAGTGTCAAACAATCTCATCACAAAAGTTGAGATAACTTAAGAATGTCTGCGAGCCATTTATGAGGGCGGTTTTGTACCATACATTTAAAAAAAGTAAGAAAATATATGTAAATAAATTGTGCTGGTAGTTCATAATCATTTCTAAACAAACAAAAATCTCGCCCTATCAAATGGGGAATTCTAAATATCTATTGGCCCAAACTTTGATGAGTAAGTCTTTTTCTTCTATTTCCATTCGATAACTTTAAGACCTGATGTTGCACTTTGAATTAAGCTTTGCTTCACATATCTTTATATTACCCTTTATATTTAGTTTGAATATTAATGTAAATCGCTCATTACTCTGGATCCGTAAATGAATTATCTATTTCACACTCCTAACAGGCTCTACTCTCTTCAGTATGGTCGACGGTATCAATCCTGCTGAGCCAGAATTTTTCAGCGAAGTATTCATGTTCGGTGGGCGTGGTATCTCAGCCTATAAGGTTGACCCTATAACTATGAACATGACCTTGGCTTGGGACAGCGGTGATGTCATCGAGAAGGAGATCGCAAAGTTCTTTCCCAAGATCTTCAACGGAGCCGCATTCTCTCGTCCTCCCCAGCGAGTTAAACCGTTCATGACTAAGGACTCGCGATCGAGTGGAAGGGTACGTACGACGATCGCACGATAGTCTCATACCTTAGTCACACTGCCATAAATGACCCCTCTATCGATGGTCTGGTATCAGTCTCATCGCTGTGACTGGGGTATGATGCCTATAAGTCTGTTGTTTGGCTGCGTAACAAATTTTAGTTCCAAATTTCAGATTAATATCCTATAGTATTTCATGATCTTTTATAACATAACATTAATATGAAGCATGCTAACATTACAATTGGTAGAATGACACATTATATAAAACGGGCATAAAACATTTAAGCAAGGAACCCTGTTATGACCAAAATAATAGACCATAAACATTACGTTTCCAATATAGCAGGACACAATTTGTAGTGAAAATACGAAATTTCAAATTGCAATCAAGTATTTTTGGCACATATCAACATTTTGGCAGTCACAGAAACACACAAGACGTCACAGAGAGGCCAAACGAAATTAGGCTAACTGGTCCAAAAATATTTAAAATATAACACAATATGTGTATATAAAAAGAGAAATATTAATTACACAATTTCACGATAGTAGTTTAGTAAGTCAAAACGAGCATACCCTTCAAGCAATGTAACGGACTTCAATGGTTGGACTCCGTGGAAAAACAGAGCCATTAGGTTAATGGCTCTGAAATGGACTATCCAATCGTCTTCTCATTCTATTATTGTTATATAAGTCTTCGACTTTGTTATATTGTTTTATTGTTTTTTATGATGATTCTCGGCCGAGAAAAACACACAAACGATATGATCTCTGCGATCACCGGCGATTTCTTATTCCACCCATTTTGTCCAAAAAGTTGCGTAGAAATAAGAATATACATGACAGTCAACATATATTGAGTAATTTTGTTTTGTTTTGTATCTCGTAGGGGCCTGAGTGTGAGTCTCTAGCTGTTGGTGATGTCCAGGGCAGAAAACTTATCTTCGTTGGTATTGATGGAGTAAGTGCTCTCGCCATCTTCTCCGTTGCCCCTGGCAACAGCACACCTGTTTACGAATCCCTCTTCAAGGACGGACATATTGATGCCAGCTATAACGCCCTCTACAAAAACCGAAAAACCGGCGACCTTTCCCCAGAATCTCTTTCGTGAGTTCAAATTGTTTGTTCATGGGTATTCAATTTTGTAACTTAAAACATTTACCAAAAAAAGAGATTTAATTTACTCTTTAGACTGCTAATAAGAGAATGTATACTGCAGGTTGAAAATATTTGAAAAAATAATCAGAGAGGTATCAGAATATTTCTCTTGTTCTCACAATCCCCTGCCCGTTTGTCAAAGTGTATACCTTACAGAGTACTTCATTTGTTGTTGATTCGTTTAGGATTCGAGCTAATTAGATTGAGCATTTACACTTATTCTAGTTTTCTGATAAAGTTTGCAAAAGTATTTGTATGAGGGCAGATGTAAAAACTGTAACAAAATTTGGAACGAATAAGGTTACTAACATAAGTTATCCTTTTTTAATAGGGGAGGGGATAACGATGTAGCTGTTTGGCGCCACCTATGTCAAACAGTTTTTTTAAACGATTGTTATGTGTCGATGGTGTTCAGGATGTATTATATAAATATGTATCAATATTAAAGTAGATGTGTATGTTAAGAATTCTGAAAAGTTGCAATATTTACCTTCTTAAAGGATATGACTGCGAATACAATTTTGATACAGTATCATAGTTACGACAGTTTCAAAAATGATAATAATAATTTTCATCATCGAAAACAGGAATTTTTATTTGTTATGCTCACAACTGTGCGCTCGTGACTATGGACATGTACATCGATGATAGACCAAAAAAGACTTACAGATTATGGTATTACACCGCATATTATTTTTGCTATCCTTCAAATGAATCAACTACTCATAAAAGCAATGAGGGATGAACGTTCCGCATTTAGAGACAGTTTTGGCAACTACTTCGACCATGTTCTTGACCTGAGCAACAATTTTAGTCCCGTAAAAAGAGGCTCTCACTCAGAAAGGTCACGGAGAGGATAATACAATTAGGGCGTCGCCTATGATCTCATGCTAACCCGTCATGGTTAATAGACGGTCGCTATGGTGATCAAAATAATGACAAAACGGTCTCTAGGCTAGGTCTGGGTTCTCATTACAAAAACTCTCTGTGTTTTGCTTCTTTGACTATTGTGTTGTCGAATGACTTCATAGCTAGTTTAAACAACTGATTTCCGATAAACTTTGCACTTTTCCCGTCTGGATACCACTTAATGTATCACTATAGAATTCGACATTGCGGATAGGCGAATCCTTGCACTAATGGAGAACTGTGCTCGGAGAAACATTTCTCTTTCTTTGTAAAAACTGAAATGGTTAACATCATATAAAAACGTTTAATAAAAAAATCACTCTTGGCCTTAGTACGTATCGTGTACTAAATAAGGATCACAATAGAATTCGACATTGTGGATAGGCGAATCCTTGCACTAATGGAGAACTCTGCTCGGAGAAACATTTGTCTGCCTTTGTAAAAACTTAAGTGGTTAACATATTCTAAAACGTTTAATAGAAAATCACTATTGGCCTTAGTATGTGTCGTAAGATATATAAGGATAAAGTGACTTCTGCCTATGATGAATCATCATCTCATTTAGAAATTATATCCATTACTCTATATAAGGTCATTCTCTGTCGTTGTCGGTGCATCCCATCAATACGATTCCACAAATTATGCGGCAAGGATGGGATGGGGGACGCTTGCTTAATACTATACGCAATTACTACTGATTTTTTATGAACTCTTTCTGCTCATATTAATAGTCTAAAGTATTTTAAAGGGTGCTTTGTGCCTTTTGTTATTTTATAGAACGCGTCTTAGATGTCATCAAAAAATGTCTTTGTTTTTTCTTCAAAAATTTACTTTAGATTCATCCCTCCAGAAAAGAGTCAAACTAACAAGCCTCTCCTCCTTGTGACCGGTCGAGTGAGTGGTACAGTCTCTATGTATGAGGTGATCGATGTTCCTTACTGGATGTTACTCAAGACACTTGGTAAGTATAACATCGCCCCGTATGTTCGGACAGCTCGATATATTTATATGTTGACACCCTTATGTCCTGGCACCCCAGGACCTACCGCATTCTTCTCTAAAACACTTTTGCCCCACCTGCGTCTTCTCCAAAACACCTTTGCCCACCTGCTTCTGGTCCAAATCACAATTTGTTCCGATTATTCAGTAAACTGAAAATATATCATTCGTCATGTACATTATAAATTATACATGTATACCCTTTAAAAAATGATTCCTCGACTCTCTCTGAGTATTATTTTGATGTAAATCTCTCATTTTTGGGTGCTTACTACATCTAATTGTGGATATTATGGTAATTGTGATCCTTGATTTTGTCATGGTCTCGTGAAGTTGATGGATCAGATGCATGCAAAAAAAAAGCAACTGAAGAAGCAAGTAATCAAACAGAATGAATGCATGGGTTATGAAAAGTGTTTTAAACATTCACAAAATCTTTCTTTGTATTCAGACAAATGAAATGCACCTACATCCTGTATCAAAATGAAAGAAAGTCAAGGTCATTTTGACCTCCTTGAAATTAATCGTGTGCATATAAATTCAGATTTGACATGTAGAAATAAATCTTTATTCTATAATTATGCTCTTCCGTAGGAACCAACATAGAAGGAAGTAGTGCCATATCTGTGACGTCATCAGCGTTCAGCATCTTCTTCGCATTTCTGTCTGGGATGGTCGCAATCTTCATGAAAATGTAATTTTATTCATAATATAATTTCTAATGCAGCTCTTTTGAAAACGTTCTTGTTTCATTTGGTGGTAGACTTCAATCTAATGAATAACGAGATTACGCAAGATTCCCCCTTTTCGATTTGTTTGTATATGGATGTAATCTAACCTGATCAATTTGATTTCTTGATATCAAATTTAATATTGGTTAGCAAGGAAAGTTGAAAAAACGTTTAAAAAATATATTTGAGTCATCCATTTTTATTTAATCTGCAACAACTTGTCTCGCGTTTTAGTTTTCGTGCAGGATCAAAAAGAAAACTTTCAAAAAATAAGAAACATAGAGCTTAAATAAAAAAAAACCTGAATTGCATCATATGATTCTCTTTTAAGATGAAAATGTAATTCTTATATAGCCGATCCCTTTGGCAGTACATATTTTTCTTCAAGCATATACGCAGACACCCTTTAGAATTCTTTTTTTCAAGCGATCTTCTTTAGGAAATTTAGTATTTTCTTTATTTCGGTGAAGATTTTTGATGTTACTATGTAAGGTCATTGTAATATATTGATATAACACACAACTATTGTAACCAAGTGTTTTTTAAATCACATTCTTATTTATGTCTTATGTGGAAAGGTGCAATAGTATTTTTGTTCTCATATACATCATGAAAATTGTATGAATAGTGGTTACGATGTTAGGTGTTAAATATAAATTTGCTATTCCGGATTTTCTTTACCTTCATATATTCAGAAAATACGATTGGTAAACTGAAATGTTGAACGATATGAAAAAGTGTCGGATATGTTGATATGTTTGTTTATTATGATACAGTCGTATCAACTAAATGATGTACCTTACATTTAACAAGGCCAATATTACTAGTCGTATTGTTTGAAATTTATTATAAAGTGCAATATTTTGTAAATTTTGGATCAACAAAAATAATAAATTGCATAATAACAACATGAACATAATGTCTGATAAATTGGCTTCATATATTGCGTATGAGTTCTTAAAAGTAGGAACGAGAGAGAAGAGAAATACAGCTTTGAATATTCATTTCATTTTTGTTTAATATTTCGAATAGATCAACTTACATGACTGGCTCATGCAAGATTATATTGGTCAATACGGCTAGGTCAAGCGTTTTGACTAGGTCAAGAGATACTGACTGTATATAGATTTGATTGTGAAATACTTGACGGACTTGTGAAAGCAGTAACATTCTTGTTTTAATATTTATCATCCTCAATCAACCCTTTTGTCAACACGTTATAAACAGGAGTTTTGTCGAATCCCTTTCCTAATTGAGAGACATATACGGATTACGCACTGGAATACCAATAACATTAGCGACTTAAATACCGATATTCTAGTCAATTTGTTTATTCCAATGACTGTTAGGCAAATCCAAATACATAGAATTTAGTTATTAAAAACTCACATTTTGAAGAAAAAACCCAAAACAAAATCATGACTGTTAAGATATTGATGGGGTTTCAAAATGATTGCAAGAAATATGACTTGTTAAACATAATGATGGGATTATGCTGGAATCGGTATTATGTAAAGAAATATACATGGCTCGAAATAAGATTTGAAAAATATACATCACTATACAAATGAACTCATCTGGCTGATTTAAAATGTAGGCCTTACTGAAATAATGTAATTCCATCTGATTGCCATTCAAAGTTTAGAAGTAAGAGAACACCAAAGTGCTTCCCACATAAGAAACCGTACAGGTTTGATGGTTATCACTGACTGTCCTTGTAAGGGATACAACCCCGTCCCCATGTGACTGATGACGTAAACAATACTCACGAGTTCAGTTCAACCTCGAGTATATCTGAAATGCAATTTAAAACATAGATTAAGCCTGATAATGAGACTAACTGGTAATAGGTCACGAACCAGGCCAAATAATTAAACCATCGTTAAACCATGGACCTACTAATTAGTAGGTCCATGGTTAAACGGTTCAACACGAGTGTTTGACCTTGTTTACATATAGAAATGTAGTGCAAATATTTTAGAACTATCACAAACAGGAACTTGTTTCTTACCTGATAGTCAAAACCACTTTCAATAAAGAAATTTTCTCTTGATGAATGGTAATGATTAGGTGCTAAATGGGTACCGGGTAGGATGCGACTGTCATTGTTGGTCAAACAGTTTTTGAGCGTCAAGTAACGCCTGGCTTGAATGTTCCCCAGGGAGTGGAGTAAAGCGCTTAGAGAAATCGTAGATGTATAAGCGCTATATAAAAGCGGAATATTATTATTATTATAATTATATAGGCATAGCAATTAATAATGATATGTTAATTATAGTCACGTGTAAGATGATATTAGAACTGATATTGTTGATTACACAGACACGTGTTGTTTATTCGTTTTGTACATGCTTTTTCATGAGACCCTGGGCTCTTTATTTATTATCAGACAAGTACTGAAGATAAGATCCAAATGTGACGATGATTCATAACAGTCGGGATAAAATATACACATGCGTCAGTTATGCACAATCGTAGGCCCACAGTTTTTAAAGTATGGTATGATTTATTCCAAATTGACGAAGCACTTGTAGTTTATTATACACATATAGGCCTACATACACCCTTAAATACGTACAAACATACATCCTTACATACGTATTAACATACATAAAAACACCCTCATATACATAGATACATAAATATATACATAATTAGGTTTATATGAGTAATACACAGATTTTGCAAAATCTAATTTTTCTTAATCTGTTATTAATAAAAATATACTACACTTGTCTGCATTATTATTTAAACGACTTAAAGCAATCTTTTTGGGGCAAAAAAGCAAATATATCGTATTCTGAAGATACAATGCACTCTGCGGGGTTAGTAACATAGAGCGAAATTTAAGTGGGAGGCTTTAACAGTTAATTCGCACACATAACATTATTCGAGATCCCACGCTAGACATCGCAATACGTGTATTAATACCACTTATTTGTTCTATAAAATTCTGGAAAAGTTTTTACAAAACTGAGCTGATATTGATATAAACCTGGACTGAAAATAGACTGCTGACTGTAGAAAGCTTAGTCATATCCACGGAGTAATTATCTCTTCCTTTCTCTACGGGATAGGGTAAAGTAAGCCGAGCCTGGAGTGACGTCAGCGGACAGTGTCTGGGGAAGAGTTGGGCTGGGTTCGGTCTTCCTTTCTGAGATTAGCTAGGGTCTCAACACCTGACAGTCAGGATTAGATTCAACCTACTACTGTACTACCCCTCTTAGCAAACTAGGTGACCATCTCATCAGCTCTACCTCTGTTTCACCACAGAAAAATCACAATTTACGAGGTTCCTAATCAAGAAAAGCAAATAAATAGTCTCTGTGATTACATTTTCTCGTTTTTGTAATTTAAATTCATATATATCTTCATATAATACAAAATTAAATACAGTAAATAATATTCCAAAAGGGGGAGAAAAACGTCGAGGGCATTAGGAAACCTAATCACTGTAAAAATATCTCACTTGCCTGAGGGTAATAATTATAATAATATTCCGCTTTTATATGACGCTTGATACAAATGTCTCTAAGCGCTTTACAGATATACTATTACCCCGGTCATTGGATTCAATACTTGCCCGCACACACTGTGTGCACAAACTCCACGCACTGGGGAGCATTCCAGCCAGGCGTTACTTGACGTAAGAGAGAGAGAGAGAGAGAGAGAGAAAAAAAAGAAGCATGATTGTGTCCGTAGCCTTTTCATAAATATTTTTTAAATAATAGGAACACAGCTAAATACACAGTTACGAAATTCACGAACAGAGCTTATAAACAGCGTATCGTGAAAAATGCGTTTCAAAACTATGTTTCATAATTCTGTTACGAAACGGTGATGGCTTCGCAAATTAGTAATAAACGCACCCTAAGTAGGGTGACATCTTGTCCTAAACCCCAAAAGAAGTTGAAGAGTATCTTTCGTACCAGCGACAGTGACTGGTACTTAAATATCACCCACGTCGGGCTATCAGACAGGGAATTCCATTTCCTGAATTTGTCAGCGTTTCCACATATCAAAAATATAATATGACAGATTACTTATTGAATTATGACTTTAACTGCTTCACGTGAGAGCCAGGTCATTCTGTTCACTTTTCGCTGAAATTAAGCCCCACTTGATGAATTTATTTTAACCGATTTTTTGTTAATAATATATTTCTTCAATCTATTAAACTATTTTCAATTTTAAATAGATTTTTTAATAAAATGAGTTAGCTTTCAACGAAAGGTAGTATATGCGTCGTGTGTCTTTACCATGACTTTTGAGTAATGAACGGTAACCTACGATAAACACTTCTAAAACACCCTAATTATTCCTGTTACCAAAGTGTGCCCTGGGCACAAATTAAACGATAAACTCAACCAAATTAACCTAAAAACCAAATTGAACCTCTGATACCGACCCAAAGTCTTTGACGAAATAAAGCCCAGAGTAAATGTCGCCAGAGCAAATGTCGGACCAAACATTGCTCAATATCTCTTGTCTTCTTGTCACTTAAAACGCTACAATTTTCCTATCGGAACGTTTGATTACCAGATAAACACTCTATTAATTTTGCACTGCAAAGAAGGAAACAGAATTCTTAAAAGTGTGTCATCATCATCATCATCATCATCATTCTTATTGTTATTATAATTATTATTATTATCATTATAATAATTAGTTTTTCGATTATAATAATTACTTTTTCAATTATTTTTTTTGTTATTATTATCATCATTGTCATTATCGTTTTTACAAATCATTGTTATAATAAATATTCCTTTTTTTTTTATAAGGATTCTTAATATTGCTGTTGTTGGTAGTGATGGTGATGTTATAATCATTATCACTACTATTTTATTGTTATTGTTATTATTGCGGTTATTGTTGTTGTTATTATTATTATTATTATTATTATTATTATTATTATTATTATTATTATTATTATTATCATTATTATATTTATTATTACTATATTATCAACCTATTAGAGGATTACTATCTTCTTTAACATACAATGCACTTCACATACTGAGTATTATAAACTCTTCGCTGCTCGTCTAAATTAAAGAGCGGTTTCATGATTCTATGATAAAGGAAACTCTTTATTACCATATTACCGCTCGCCATGAAAACGTGACCATATATGATCAATATTCGAGAATCACGTAAATTTTCAGCTGGTCTGGATTAAAACCGGAAGAATTTGTCAGTTGTTTTAAGTACAATATAATGACCACCCTCTTTGACCTACTTTTGTTGTTTTGTCATCGCAACGTCATTGTCATTTGCGTATAAAGATACATACATATTCCTTTCAGTTCTGTAATCAATATTACCAAAATACTGCCAGGTGCCCGTTTACAACTGGGCAGAGATGGACAAATGTGGGCAAAACACCTTGTCCAAGGATGTAACCACCGACCGAGAATAATCGAACCCAGAACCTCTCGTATGAGAGTCAAGAGCATTAACCAATGTCACACTGCTCCAACGTGAGGGAGGGGGGGGGGGTGATTTTCATGTTCTGAAAGTTTTAGACACAGCAAACAAACTGCTTAGTAAGACACGAAGCCTGTAGACATACCCATCTCGCAAGATATTTTGTCTGCATTTGCATATCTCCTTAGTGAAATTTATCATAACTCAACCTTAATATGTGTGCATTGAAATCTTGACCTTTTTGATTCACCCTCTTCTTGTACTCGTGACCGTTTCATCCCCTTCCTCATCCGCTCTCCGACCCCCAGTCGTAACCAAGCAATGCGTCCTGTCGCGTATCCTCTCTTGATGAAAGTTCACACTTTATCTACACTTTGTAATTTCCCTTAATATTAAGGATTGACTGAACTCAATAGAAAGGAATCAAATCAGAAATGGTACCATTTGGAACTATTTGAACATACAGGTAGTAGTATCTATCTAGAAGATATATCGGAACTGAATTATTGAATATAGGCATATAGGGAATGATGCGGAAAAAGAAGGGAAGAAAGAAAGAGAGAGAGAGTGAGAGAGAGAGAGAGAGAGAGAGAGGGGGGGGGGGGGGGTGGAGAAAGATATTTTGCCTTATTTTCATCTCCCCTCAACATGATGTGTACATTGAAATCTTGACCTTTTTTTTTATTCACCCCCTTCTTGTACGCGTGACCGTTTCATCCCCTTCCTCATCCGCTCTCCCCCAGTCGTAACCAAGCAATGCGTCCTGTTGCGCATTCTCTCTTGATGAAATTTCACTCTTTATCTACACTTTGTAATTCCCTTAATAGTAAGGATTGACAGAACTCAATACAAAGGAATCAAATAAGAAAGTTTATCATTCGAAACTATTTGAACATACCAAGTATCAATCTAGAAGAAATATCGAAACTGAATTATCGAATATAGGTAGATAGAGAATGATGCGGAGAGAGAAGGGAAGAAAAAAAGAAAGAGAGAGAGAGGGAGAAAAAGATATTTTGCCTTGTTTTCATTTCTCCTCAACCTGATGTGTACATGGAAATTTTAACTTTTTTTTATTTACCCTCTTCTTGTACTCGTGACCGTTTCATCCCCTTCCCCATCCGCTCTCATCCAGTCGTAACCAAGCAATGCGTCCTGTCGCGTATCCTCTCTTGCTGAAAGTTCCCTCTTTATCTACACTTTGTAATTTCCCTTGATTTAAGGATTGACTGAATTCAATACAAAGGAATAACATCAGAAATGATATCATTTGGAACATTTGAAAATACTATACCAAGTAGCAATCTAGAAGAAATATCGGATTTGAATGATTGAATATAGGGAGATAGGGAATGGTGCGGAGGGAGAAGGAAAGAAAGAGAGAGATAGAGAGAGAAAGTAATGTAATTAAAGTAATGTTCAGGCAACCTGAGGCACCCACTGCCGTTTACTAATATTCTAGAGTAAAATTAATTTCTCCCAACTGGGCCTGCTTTCAAACCGGTAAAAGTTTGCTTTGCACCAGGATGAATAAGCAACTGATCAGAAAATCACCTTATTTATATTTAATACTTGAATCTTAGCATATACAGTGCGTCCCAGAAAAAAACGAAACCAAGAATTATCGATGTTTTATCATAACTTAATCACAATTATAATTAATAAATGACACATATTTGTAAAGCTTAGATCCTCTTCTTTCATTTGATTTGAAGAGAGGAAACCAAAAAGTCATTTGGCGGGCGGTATCTAAATTTCAAAGAGAAAATCAAATTTCTAGAAAGTTCAATTTCTGCCCCTTTTATATGACACCTCAATCAGGGAAAATGAGCCAAGAATAACACAGTTCTGTTCGTTTAAAGCAATGCTTGCATTTCCATAATTTGATTAAACGAGTCCGTTTTCACTGGCTGTTTGCCGTAGCAACGAACAGAGTTGACAAAAGACGGTCGGTCCGTGTTTTGTTGTGTGTGTTATAGTAAGAGTCCTACCCTCTCTCGTTCCTTGTCTCCCTTCTTTCCCTGTCCGTTTCACCACTTTTATGTTATGTCTCTCTGGTTTAATTTCGTGCGTTCCCTTATTATTGATATACTATTGTTGCAACTTTAAGTTATAGGGGGCTGCAATCTACACGCCCAGCTGTTCAGCAGTCCCCTCCATGACCAACCTGTTTTATATGCCTGTTGTACACTGTGGACCAATTACAATTATATTGTTCAGTGTTATTGTTTTACTATGCACAATGCGATCCCATGTATTTTATTTTATTTTGTTGGAAATGGGATAAACGAAATGAAATGAAATAAATAATATTGTGACCTCTGAGCCGGAGAAGGGGCGTTTGTTAGAGAAGGTGTGGTATGGAATAGATGTTTCATAACACAAAGGTTTTCCAATGAAGCTTTGAGTGTTATGACGTCATGAAGACATCAGTCATTCTAACATCAAGGTAGAAAATAATATTTCCGGTCTTTTTTCAAGGTCTTAATTGGCTATATAATTTGTCCTAGTTAAGAGGGCTATAATGGCAATTCATGCAAGTGCCAATGTCCGGTGTCTTTCAATGTCTTTGCACATAGATGTTTCAAGTCTGATAATATAAATACACGGATGGGCCCAATTTACAGCTTTTCAGTCAGCAATTGTAGCAATGGGCGACTCATGGGACGACCTTCCGCTTGGTCTTTAAACTGAGAAGCTTTGAGGGGGCAGGCAGGCAGCGAGGTATCATCAGGGTATAGCTAGCTGCGAGTGCGAGCCAATAGATTCCTTGGTAGCAGGGGTGGTCTGCGCGCATCATTCATACGAACTTTTCACTCAGGCTAAGGCATCCATCAACGCCACAACAACGCCTTTGAGGCTTCATCATATTTTCTACTTTTAAGGTACCATTTAGCATCAGTAGGAAGCAACAAAGTACATCCAATATGGCGGTAAAATTACTTTTAATAAGCCTTTTTGTGGCCACCTGTATTCAGGTTTCATTGTCTTCGCTGTCAATGACGGCCGTTTCGAGCATGACGCTTCCTTGGAACATCGTACCAAGAGGAGGAGGTAGGACGGAACCCCAATATGGTCTAAACAGAGGTGCGGCCGAGAAGACTGCATTAGACGTAGATAACATGGTCGCCTACACTGGAGGTAAGAAACAATGAACTATTTGCTTTTATAAATCGAGTCGAAAGAATCGTTACCGTCGGAGCATTTGCCGGACGACTTTTACCAAATGAACGAAACTGATGATATCAATTGCTTTAATGACACATGCTCCGGCCATTCCGGCGACACTTACGCCATCTTGTCCGCGCCCAATAACCTACACAACCCGAATTCCTAACCGTTTAACCTGGACCAAACAGCGTACCTAACCACTCACTTGCTACCCTGACCATAATCCTACATCTTTTACGAAAATAAATCTCGAAGCAATTTTCGAATTTGCATTATGTTGTTGTTGTTGTTTATCGAGCACTGCAATATCCATAGGACTCTTTTTTTGACCCCCCAGTATGAGGCCTCGTTACGTTATGTTTCATTAATACCACGCACAACTAGAAGAACACGAGATTGAAAACCATTTGAATTGATATAATCATCATTATTATCATTCGTTCTCTAATTTTACTGTCTCATCTTGATACACTTAAAAAGAAAACATGTATCCTCTTGTACTGTTTATTTGTAAAATACATGGTTCGTTGGTTTGGTTCTGTTTTTATTTATGGTCATAAAATATGAAATACAAACATTAAACAAATAAAGAAACAAAACATTGAAACATTTTACATGGACTCTTCTAGAAAATGAACATCAAAACAATCATCGAGGAATCACCCCCTTCAGATCTACCGACAAAGTTGATCTGTTCCCCTTCGGTGTCCCAAATTGTGATGATATACCCATTGTGAGATGGTTAACACTGCATACTCTCTTTTTATTTTATCATTGCTCCACGTCTAAACTATTCAGCGTTTTCATCTAATACGAAGCAAGCACCTGCGATCTTGTTACGTAATAACAACAACCAAGCGCATTAGAATATGATCAATCAATTATAATCGAAGGTGCATTCACCCTAAACATATCATACACGTGTTGTATTCAATACCTCTAATTACATGTTTGCAAGACCAACATTTTTCTATGGCTAATATACTTTACCTTTGTCATTATACATTTTTATTTCGTGCGGAGGTGTCATGGTAGAGAGGTTCATGCACCTTGACTCTCAATCGAAGGGTTGACGGTTCGAATCCCAGCCCAGCATAAACTTCCATTGGCAAGACATTAATCCACGTTTATCACTCTCCATCCAGGTGTAAATGGATATCTGGCTATCGCTGGTTAATAATAACTGCAGGGCCCACAGAAACAACAGCATTGATGCATGTTGTTATCAATATTTTATTTCTCATTGTTACAAACCGAGTATGATTCTTAAAGGTTACCCTTCAACTCATTTTTGTTTATACGGGCGCCGTCTCCCGATTCCTGTGTTGCTCATTTATTATTCAAATTATTCTTTCATAAACCTTATATTCTATAGTATTCTTTAAACATTCTGCATTTGTTATGAGCATGTATGTATTTCACACTGTATATTATTATACTGTATCACACTAACAGCCTAATCATTCTTACGTTTGTTTCACGTTGTTACTTGTTTTTACCAATGCTTTCTACTCCCTTAAAAGCAGCGTATGATTTACGTTGTACTAATTTCCCCTTACTGCAGAGAAATTTCTCTTCGTGCTTGATTTCTTGGTGTGTTCAGATTTTTTCTTCAATTTAGTTAACTTCACATTTTACAGTCACAATCATTACATAAATCATAAGGCAAAACAAAAAAGGATTAATCTAATAGGTATAAATATACATACAATGATATTAAGGAATGATAAGAAGTAAGAAATAGAGTCGTAATAACATGCGGTGATAGAAATACAATTGCTTGGTATTTCAACTTATACATTTGAACAAATATATTTGCAGTGAAATATGAGGGAATCTAGTAGAAGTCTTGCAATTATAGATTCCCTTATAATTAAGAGCAGTCTTTAGTGCATGTTGATTTGTTTATTAAAAAATTAAGATACAGCTGGTAAGAACAATTAAATTAATTATCTCAAGTCACTCAGAGTTTCGCCTAACCCACTTTACGATTCCACGTGGCTTTCATGTATAAAGTTAAACCATGGTTAAACTCCTGAATCAAAACTTAATTTAATATTTTAATAATTGTTTTTCAAACTTTACAAACATTACTATTCATTTATTTATTTCTGATATTTAGACAGGTTGACTCATTATCACCAATAATAGTGGTCTTCCATAAGGCCCTGTTTAAACATAATGAGGAACAATAGTTAAAACGAATAAATAATAATAATAATAACAACAAAATCATGAACATAAACTCATAACAGCAACAAAGAATAAGTAAGAACATGATGACTCCATACAGCTGAATTAGAACATCCTAAGTAACCATGACAACGACTCGATGTCGACCATATCTAAATCACAGTCATCCAATGAACTATGTACACTGGGAAACTGTCACTTAAAGAGATATTGACGTTCCGTTTCTCAGTAATCGCCCGCCAATCGTATATTATTACTATACCCTGAAGTCATAGTTATATGATAACAGGTCTTTATAGACAGGTCATCATTTGTCGGCCTTATATTGTTTTCTGTGTATTGCATGCTAACAAAACATAATCATGATAATATCATTAACTCACAATAAAATGATTGCAAAGGCTTGAAAATTAAACCCGAGGCAATTTCAGTAGCTTCGCCCATCACTGCTTGAAACGTACGAACGTTCGATGGGATGTAAAATAAGGTATTGGCATTAGCTTTAAGTATATTTCCAAAGTCTGTGCGACCGAGTTTAAATTCTACTAATGAAATGTAACTTTAGAAAAAAAAGACACTTAAAATGAACTTTTTCGAATTACTGATTCAATGCAACCCAAGATTATAAAGAGATTATCGTCCCAAGAAACGATAGGTAATCATCAAAATGACTACGGTATTGAGTTGTTCATATGCATTAAACTGGACACACATATCAATTCCAGTGCCTGTATGGCCTCAAGATATGGATAAGCGTTTCCAATTATACAGCTAACTCTTTAAAAATACCCCTGTCTGCAAGTTGTGATTGGTTGAGTAAGCGGCAATTAATATCATATGCTGCTATGTTTCAAGTCGTCCACACGAGAAAGGGTGTAAAGCAGAATAGGTTTGTAATGCAAAATATAAGTTTTGGTATCAGATTTGTATTAGTTAATGGTGGAGGGAGGATGGGGAGAGAAGAATCTGATGTAGGAGAGAGAGAGAAAGAGAGAGAGAAAGAGAGAGAGAGAGAATGACAGAGGGACAGACTGACAAACTGACAAACGAACCGGAAGTTCGTCATTGTGGGAAGGGGACAAGAATGTGAAGGAAGAGAGATAGAGGGAGAGGGAGAGAAAGATAGAGAGATATATAGAGGGTATACAGTATAAAAATATACAGATAATTCGTCCTTATTCTCTGATGAAGGAGCAAAAGGAGAGAAAGAGAGAGAGAGAGAGAGAGAGAGAGAGAAGGGTACACTAGCCAACTGACCGAGAGATATAGACTTCGTCATTGTGGGAGGACAATAATTTGATGAAAGAAAAATAGGGAAGAGAGAGGGAGAGAGAGAGAGAGAGAGAAATAGAGAGGGAGAGAGAGAGAGAGAGAGAGAGAATGACAGAGGGACAGACATAGAAGCTGCCACAGATATAGAGAGATGACATTTGTAGAAGGGTGATATGAATCTGATGTTTGCCAGTTTTTCCAAGTTCGTCATAATGTCGGAGGGGGACTAGGGTCTGAAGGAGTGGAATGACATATTGAAAGTCAGGGCTTACAAGAGGTCTAACAGACTAACCATAGCGGTAACCTTTCTTTAATATAACAGTTGCCTCAAACCACTTCCACATTCTCTTTGCCAGAATCTCATCATATATGGTCATTCATAATCTGCTTCTTCCCTATAGGACATCCCTACAACCTTGCCTTGTCATGGCGTTCAAGTCGGTCGTAGTGACATTGACAATATGCAAATTGAGACTCTGCACAAGATTGCTCAAGTTGGTTCAAGGGATCTTTACTTTATAGCTTTGTAGTAATATTACTAATTGAAGAAGTAATTTCTTTCTCCTTTCCCGCCTCTAGTTTCTTGATTATGTGTAAAGGTAAAGGCCCGATAAGATAATGAAAAATGTTAAAGGTATTACAAAGTTTCGGTATGAGGTCATGAATTTGGTTCAAATGAACATATTAGAAGCATTATGTGATCCTACTATATTCAGTAATCGTTGTCGCGGTTGAAATCGAGTCTAAATTTATGCAATTTTAAATAATAAACTCTTTATGTTGTATAGCCCTCTCAAGGCCAAGATATTAATTAAGCTATAAAACAATGTTTCTTGACTAAAACCGACCGATTACCTATTCCCGTTTGGAAATCATATATCACAACTATATTTTCTGAGATTTTCATGGTCGCAGCTACCATTGTATGGCCGTAGGCGCTATTTGAAATTTATCAAAATTTACCGGGAGCATCGGTAAATTGTTATATTCAATTTTTCTCGAAAGCAGAAGTGTTTTAGGGGCTTAATTTTCTGGTGCTTTTAATTCATTCACATGGGCATCCAAATATATCAAAATTGTAAAGAATGACTATCCAGCCAATTTTCAAAATTTCCCAAAACTTTGTATTACCTTTAAAGCTTTAGTATCAACTCTGACATGATAATGTTAGGTACTTTAAACTAAATTATCATTGCTTAGCACTTTCATGCCTAACAATTTAAACCTTTTTTTAAATTCCTTTTTTACATTTACTATTAGTTTTGAGAAAGAATACCACGTGAACTTCACTTCTAACCACAATTACATGATTTTAATGACATATGTCGCTATTTTTAACAATACCCGCAGTTTGTAACTTGGCTTTTGATCAAGGACGACATCCAATCTAACCAAGCTTAACTTTAAGAGACTAAATAATCATATCATGATTGCTATCACTTGTTTTCCCCTTTCCGAAAAAAACTCCCATAAAAGCCACACGTTGTCTCGCCAAAATATAAAACTTATGCTCCAATTTCCTTATGTGAGGAGAGTATTTGCACTTTTTGGCCTGAATTCAAGGAATCAGATAAAACTTTCATTTAAAATAGATTTTCGCCTCTTTCTAAAGTTTATTTGTCACCTCAATGACGTCAGTCGATTCGAGAAAAGAAGTGAAAATGTGCACGTGATGAATCATGAAACATTTCAACTTCTTAAAAAAAATATTCTGAATGTTCGTTTCAAAATCAATTTTCCAAACCTGTCTAAAATTATAGCAATAGTTATTTTTGTCTTCTAAATTCGATAAAAGATGCATGCCAAATTCATATTGAATATCTAGAAACTAAGTTCATAGACCGAAGGAGGGGGTGGCGTTGTAATTGTAGATAGGTATTAAAAAAGATATTCTCTTCCTACCTATGCCTGTTACGACAAGGGCCAATAAAACAATGTAAAGTGTTAATTGACTTTACCGGGCCTGCGATCAGGGAGGGGTGGGGGGGGGGGGGGGGGGCTTCTGCATAGGCCATTGCCCTTATTACAACTCTGCCGATTATTTAGATTGAATTCTAATTATATAAGGGGGTAAACGAAAAATGTCAAGTAAGAAAACGGAGTTAGTTTGTAATATTATTTCTCTTGGCATTAGGTTCCTGTAATCCAATTACATGAATTCCATTGAGTTACATTGAGTATCAGTTTCGCAATAATCCGCCGTGATTCAGTCTTACATATGTAAGTTTGGCAGATTAGTTCGCAGGAAGGTATCTAACTTATTAATGACCATAGTTTGGTTACCCTCTTCCTTAATACCGACCTTTATATATAAAGTACATGAAGCCCGTAGTGTGCCATATTGTGAAGCATAGTCAAATATAAGTCATCTATATTTCAGTAAAAGAAAATTAGATATATAAATTATTCGGAAAATTTCCAGGTACTCTGCCTGTCCGACAGACAGAGTACCTAGAAATTTGAGAAGTGAAACTATATTTCTTCCTCGACTGACAATAGGCAGGGTCACAAATTCAATAGCAAATATAATAACAATTATACACTGTAAAAAAATAATAGTCGAAATAACTCAATAAAATTGAGGAAAAGAATTGCCTTATTTTTATTAAGTAAATATTACCTACGGCATCTTAAGTAGAATTTACTTATTTTGCTGAATAAATTTTTACTCAGTTAAATCGAGTTACATTAACGTAAATAATTTAAGTATTGTAATCATTTTAGATAATTAAAAAAAAGCTATGATAGGATTACATATTGCACGATTTGGTACCCATCTAATCTAACAAGTAACATCCACTAATCATTCACTACTTCTATTTAAGATTTAACCGTATATATATATCTACCACCATCACAAACTATTACATACGCTTCAATTCGACACATATTGAAAGGCTCCAAATTTTATATATACTTGATCGTAGCATCTTAAAAGGAAAATTGGTTGACAATTTCCTGAAATATCAAGTTTTTATTTGTTTTGAACTGGGTAACAATTAAAAATTGTCTTGTCTTTGCTTAGCCATGTTAAATGAATTAGTAAATGTTTTAAAGTCCTTAAATTTTCATTCAACCACAAAAAAGAATTGTTTTATTTAAAAAAGAGTTTAATTTGGTCTTAATGAATATTCATAAATTATGTAAATATTTCTATTACGCACTGCATCGGTCCTTACTTTAAAAAAATAAGAATAATCAACATAAATTGTTTGAGTAATACGTATAATTTCTGATTTTGAGTTAAAATTACTAAATTAATACAAGCTGAAATTACTTAAAGTTCTTATGTATTTGATTTTAATTAAATATTCCACGTATGTTCTACTAAATTGAAAGTTTGAGTTAGCAAGACTTAAATTTAGTGCGTAAGTGGCAAAACTAATGTTTTCAAGTAAATTCTACATGGAAAAAATACGTAAAAATTACCAATGAACAAATTCTTTTTTTACAGTGTAGTAATATATATAATAGCAGAACAATAATGTTTATATAATATTTGAATATTAATTCACATTCCTGATGTACTCCATACATCAGCTTTATTATACACTAGGTTGGTCATGAAAATATCATTGACCGATGTTTAGTTTAGGCTCAAAAATGACGTCAATCATGCCCGTAGTTAAATTTCCATATGCTCATAAAAGACAAAAGTATGTGTGTGTTTGTGTGTGTGCGTAATTGGGTTTTTACAGACGTGTATCAATCATATATGATTATTTACGTCAGAGAACCGACTTTTTAACGTCACCATCCGAAAGACGTGACTCAGTTTCGAACCTGCGTCCTCGGCTGAATCAGTTTATAGCTTCCATTGTTAGCTGGATTATAGGCTTAAAAGAATGAAGTCCTTTTAAGAATTAAGCGACAAGGCTGATAAAAAAGTTCGAAATGGGTAGTTTTAGAATACGATGGCAGCCTTCGACGCCCTAGAAGTTTGAGGCCAGCCCAACATGACATGAACGAATGTTTACTAGTTTCATCCGGATTTTAAATACAAGAAACTTGCTAAAGAGGGAGTGACGTCACATGTGATCTTTTCTAGAGTGGAATTTTACCTAAACATCGGTTATTAGTTCTAACACTAACGCACTGCCTTGCAGGGTCTCGATCCCAAGACCTTCTGTTTTGGTAAGAACAACGCTCTATAACCACTGAGCCATCGCGTCTAAATGTCTCGCCCCAACAAACTCATCCAATAAATACAACTTAGAGAATAATTCAAAGGAATAGGATGAGGTTGCCATAGAGAATACAGGGAGTTGAGTCATGATCGCCATTAAGACCATAGCAATGTGTCACCCTGGATTACGTATTATGTTACACTCACCTGCGTATATGTTGGCCTTGGACATGGGTTGACTCTCTGGTTTAACAGAGTCATTGCAGGACATCAACCTAATCGAATCTGACGGGATGCGTTAAGTCAATGATTTGGTCTTAATTGAAAATCTCCGAACCACACCATTAAGGGTCCCTCCCTTCTTACACGGGTGATTATACCATGATGTCATGGTGAGCGCAAACCGACAACTCTGAAAAGTACTCTTGAGCTTATTTGGGGTTATGAGGCAAAATCAAAGTGTACTGACCAGACATTAAAGCTTACCTGCCGTAGTTTACAGGAGGGATTAAACCGCTCTACAAGGTCACTGGACAGGTGGTTATCTCATCAACTCATCTCTCAGTTAACATAAGAAAAAGAGGATCATGGGGATCAATGGTCACCGATTAGGCATTGTTTGTTATATAGAGGGCGCAATTAGCTACCAGTAGTGCAGTGGGCCTTTATGTTATGAACCACAAACGAATAGAAGCGTTCTTCGATTTTTTCTGACACCATTGTGTACATGCGTTGAGAAAGGAAAGAAACAAAAGTGACATTTTGACACATTATTTATCAGCAAATTTATACCTGTTTTTAGCCCTTATAGAATTCCAAAATGAGTGTTATTACAATTTTTGGTCAAGTTTGGGTCAAATTGGACCATAGTGCTTTAAGAGTCTGCTTTCAACGCTTGCATAACACATTGGATGTCAACTTTCAGCTTGAACTTTCAGCGCGTCGCCATATTAAAGCCTTATTATTTGTAATAGCAAACTAGCACGTTTTGTTTGTCATTGTGTCTTTCAGCCATTTCATATCACCTTCCAATATAACAACATTTAAAAGTGATTATCACATCTCATAATCAGCTTGCCAAATTACAAAAAAATTCCAGAATGCCGCTGTTGTCTTGTAACCCTTTCCAACAAAGTCAGTCACATCACACCGGTTCTCAATGAAATCCATTGGTTGCCCATAAAAGAACGTATTTGTATAAATGTAATGCTTCCTTGGAGAAATTTCAATTATTTAAACATATGTTTAAATAAAATAACGTATTGTTTTCAAACTGTTTGGCTTATGATACATTGTGTTCATGGCTCTGCCCCACAGTACAATATTTTGTTGCATAATCACTACACACCTGCCAGATCTTTATGTTCTCAAAACTAATACAAAGTGTGGGGGAGGGGGAGCCTTCGCTCATGCTTAGCCATCAATCTGGAATTGTTTATCTCGAAGAATCAGAGATATTCCTACAGTAGAATCTTCCAAAAGCAGTCTTAAAACTGATCTTTTCCTGTTTGCTTTTAAATTGATCTGATTGTTTGTATCTTTTTGTGTCATATTATATTTTTGTATAAGTGTGTTTATGTATTTTCATGTATTGCACTAGTGGATTTGGCCCCTTATAAAACCTATATTATTATTATTATTATTATTATTATTATTATTATTATTATTATTATTATCAGTAGTAGTAGTAGTAGTAGTAGTAGAAGTAGTAGTAGTAGTAGAAGTAGTAGTACTTAACTCTGACTGGAATAATGTCCAGGCAAATGCCTTCAGGCTAACAAATAAAATGGAATTTCCCGATTCCGATTCGATTTCTTTTCATCAATCTTCGATCACACACGCGCAAATGCACGCACAAACAAAGAACCTACAAACGCTCACATACACACACACGCACACACACGCACACACACACACACACACACGCACACACAGCCCTCCATATAAGTAAACGGTGCATAAATATAGATTCATACACCGTTTACTTTTTTATATTCTATTTTTTTCAAATGCATGGTAAATTCTATCCGATTTTCTTATATGAATGTAAATCTTTTTTTGTACCCGTCGATTCCATTGAAAATTTGTTTAGTATTTAACACAAAAATAATTGATACAATTGTAATATGATTCATATTTTCTATTCAATTACAGGGCATAACCTCTTGCATGTTATCAACTTCACCGACGTCGTTAGACCCAGGATCGTGAGGTCGTTACGCGTTCTAGACCCTATCATAGACATCGCAGAATGTGGCAACCTGGTAGCCTTCACGAGTCGACCTAGGCGAAGCCGCACTGATCCAGGCATGGTACACATCTACCAGAAATACCCGGTCTTCGGCAGCCTGTGCAACTTAACAGGTACGTAATTCTTGGATGGATGGCTGGTATCAGACAGGACAATAGGGAAAGACTCCAACGGCTTCATAATAAATGTGTCAGCAGTCCAAAGGCTAAAGCCCCCATTACACCAAACTAGTTCTCACTACGTTCTAGAACCGTCCAAGAAAATCTTAAGATGGGTTGTGGTTGGGGTAGAATGTGTAAAAAAATGTCTATAATCCGATCCTAGTTCGTTTATAAACAATCCTAAATACGTCCATCTCGTCTCTACCCCGTCCACAGTCAGTTCATATCAAGTTCAGATCGGGTAAATTTGCAAAAACGGTTCCATGCAACCCCGTTCTTAAACGATGTACACTGGCCCCTACTTGCTGATAGAATGATTACCAGATACTTTCAAATCTACATGAACCTCACTTTCTCTATACATCTTTGCGGTTCAAGTCACCGCAAATGTACTGTAATTCCCTTTAGTTAGATATTACTCTAAATTGCCACTCCTGACGCTAGAAGACAGTGGGTACCTGTGAGGATAGCGGATAGCCTTTGTCGTTGCCCTACATGTACATGTATGCGTGTGAACGTTGCAAAACGATAAGAACACTCCCCAGGCAGTCCACACTTTTGCGCGTGCATGACAATCAAGTCACCATGGGTAATTGTAATATTTACATTGTAAAGAGAACTGAAATATTATCGTAATACAATATTTACATTTAAAAGGTATCATCTTTAGAACAGAGTTTGTGTGGCTTCGACTTGCGGGTTCCGGTGCAATGGCCTTGTGTACCGACAATGTGAACAGTCCACAGTTTTACATTTATAGTTTTAAACACTTAAAAATGCCTTTGTTTCTATTTTTTCCAACAGGCACTCATTTGTCTTCTTAGGATAAATATATGTTTTTTCAACATTCCAACTATATAATGATGCTGAGTTTCAAATAACTGAATGTATCTTTAAGAAGTCAAATATTAAGGCCAATCGATGATATATTTGAGGCTACTTCAATCAGTTGTCAAAGACTCCTAAACAATGTTGACATAGTGTAGGAAGGTGACTAAGAGCTTTGAGGGTTTTCCAGGGAGACTTCTTCCCCGTTTCGGTGCACAGATGCGATGGTGATAATATCATCACATTGACGCATACTTGGGGATATGGAGAGTCTGGGATAACAATTGTTGAAATTGATAGTGAACAGGGCTCCGTTTCCTTCTCGTTTGATTCATGATGCATTGAGAAGTGCCCATTTTGCGAACGATTTTTTGAAAATGGGGTAATTATACTAAAGGTTTAGAAAACCAGGGAAATGTATGTGTTTCTTGCTTCCTACACTATGTCATTAGAGGTTGACAGTTTTACAATGAGCTGGGTGTTCCTGCTGTAGCGTAAATGAGTACGAGTGAATGCTATAAGGGGTATAAAACAAAATGTGACAACAAACTATTTTTTAACCAGTTAAAGAGACTGAGGATAATCAAATTCTACCCTATAACCACAATGTGGTATATTAGCGACATGTTCAAAGAAATGTCCACATTATCAGTTATCAGAAGGAGAATCTAAAAACTATCATGATGACAGTTTGACAGTTAAAAAAAGAGGGGGCATTGGGGATGCCCTTTCGCCCCTACGGCATTGTCAAGAAATACTCGTGCCGCGACACCGAGCAAAATTGTAGAGCTTTATAGAGAACCCTCTACTAAAATTTTTAGGCCACCCCTTTAACAATTAGAAAATCTTCGCCAAGCGGCCTCGCATAAGATTTCGGAATCGAAGCCGAATTCGATGTCAATCTGACCAAAAGCTCTATATTTGTTTGTGATATGAAAGACCAGTATGGATGAAAATGGGGGAATTTTACATGTTGGACTTTAAGAAATAATTAGTAACAAATTAATCGTTTAATGGTATTTCTTCGAAAGTCGAGTTAGGTCAGCAGTGTAGTGAGAGTTGAGGATACATTAATATAGGGGTCAGACGTGTCAATTACAACCGTAGCAGTAACAAAACAAAAACATATGTTTGAGTCTCTTCATAATGGATTTAAAGTCCTAATCATCACAACAATCCCAACGCGTTTGTGTGTTTCTGTTTCCTTTAATAGTTGGAAGCAACCCTAAGAGTCTGAAATTCGACTACAAGTGCGACACCATCATCATCGCCAACGAGGGACCAGCGGCAGAGAACGTGGAGCAGGAGATGTTTGTGAACCCAGAAGGCACCGTCAGTGTGGTACGCATTAACAACACATTCGTCAACCCTGCCTTGTCCATGTGTCAACCTATGCCGTACGGATCGGACGTCAGGCACATTGACTTCCGACTCTTCAACGATCCTGCACTGTAAGTTTTTTTTGTTTTTTTGTTGACATTTGGTCTACAACCGGTCAGTCTACTACCTAATTGGTCTATTTCCATATGGTCTACACCCAACCCGTCTGCTATCAACACGATCTAACACTCATTTCGTCTACTTATTATTTTGTCTAAAGACCATTTAGGCTGATAGCCATTTCATCCAATTTCCATTTGGTATTATCTCCAATAAGTTTACTTCCCATTTATTCTATTGTTCATTTAGTCTAATTCCAGTCTGTCTTCTTTCCAGTTTGTCCAATGTCCAATTTATCTACTGTCCATATGGTATAATAATCATTTCATCATAACACTTTTCATGTAACACTTCGAAAGCTATTTTTTTTGCTTGACAGAGACTTTATACAACTGCACCCCTTAAAAACCATTGTGCTACCACTGGCAATAACGACACATATAATAACATCTAAATAAACGAAAAAGAAAAGAGGGCGAAGAAATAACACGTAATTCAGTAGCTCTCAAATTCAATGTCTTTCATTCGGTAGCTGATTCAGGGATTTAGCTGTACCAACAATGCAGCAGGTTTGATACTATCCTTGTCATCTTGCCTCGGGATGGGGATGCATGAATGTCGGGGGGAAAGCAGCGATGAATTACCATGGATATTGTTTCAATTAATCCATTCTTTTCGGAATCTTATTTCTTGCTTACTTACAGAGCACCTCTGATGGAACAGCAGTTTATCCGAAACACATACAAAGGTCAAATGGATGGAGAGCAACATACATTCTCTATGAACGTTGAACCTGAATATGTCACGCTTGATCCATGGCAACCGACCGCTTGGGTCACCCTTCAGGTAATCAGGCGATTTAGTTAAAGGAAATCAAACCTTAAAGCCCCACTGCACTACTTATAGCTACTTTTGATTTGATGCGATAACCACCTGTCAGTGACCATGCAAGGAGGTCTAATCCCTCCTGGCCAAACTAGTGTGTGTGTGGGGGGGGGGGAGGCTTTAAGAGGCAAAGTGCTCTGAAAGTAAAGCAGAAAACATAAGATCGAGAAGCAGGTGGAAGTTTCAATGAAATGGCATAAGTAATAAAAAAAGTCATGAATTGTTGAAAGTTGTAATCATAATATACATAATGTGAATGTCAAATTTAATGAATCGGTATTGTCATTGTGAATTAGTGTCATACGACTCTCCCATTTTCCAAAACACAAAATGACTAAAATGTCAATAGCCAAGCTACCCTGATAAGGCGCTCAAGCATTCAAGGAATGTCCTCCCGGCGGGTTACCATTTACATCACCTGGGTGGAGAGTGGCAAATGTAGAATAATATAGAATAATGTCTTGCCAAAGAACTTCGTGCCTTCTAGACTTGTTGACATCTTTTCATCTTAATTTAAAGAAGGAAGAGCATCTATCGTCAATGGCATCATATTGTTCCAGCCATTTAGGGGGCACTATATAGCATTGGGAAGAAACTGATCATACTAGGTAGAGGACATGCGACTCAAGACACCCAGTGATTAGGGGGGAGGTGTGGGAGGAGCAACCATCTTCTTTACACTTTCCCTTTTCACCCTCTCCTGTTAATTCTCTCTCTTTCCCCATTTCCCGTATTTTTTCCCAATTCAATGGGAAAGAGCATGAGCCTTTGTGCCCTATGGATTTATCACTTTTCAATATGTATGAGATGGAAGTTTCATAACTTTTCTGTTTTGGTATTGTTCTCATTTCTTTTATTGCTGGAATACAGGAAAATAATGCTATTGCCGAGGTATGGTACGAAAACATGACGGCCATCATTCATCCTCTTGGACTCAAGAACTGGACCAATTATGGCATCGATGCCAGCACTATGGACGCTAAGACAAGTGAGTACAAGATTCTGTTGAGAGACAGAGGGGCGTTAACGAGTTTGGTTTTGTTTTGGTTTGTTTTACCTGACTGCTAAGAAAGCATATGTATGCTTGTAAGTAAGCAACCAGGGGACAGACGGCTTTAAGTCCTCCCGAGTGAATTGTTAATGAGAATTCATGCTTTACAAAAGAGCACTAGCGCGACTAGGTTTCGAACCCGTGACCTCTAGGTCACGAGACCACTGCTCTACTGCTGAGCCATCAAGTATCATTTCCCTTCTTGTTCTCAATCCTATCCTATATGAAATGTTCATAGGTTCAATTTCATGCCTTCGTATTCATCCCCTACTCCCCACTCAGGTGTTAAAGGTAATACAAAGTTTTGAGAAATTTTGAAAATTGGGTGGATAGTGATTCTTTACAATTTTGATATATTTGGATGCCCCTGTGGATGTATTACAAGTACTAGAAAATTTAGCCCCTAAACTATTTCTGCTTTCGAGAAAAATTGAATATAAAAATTTACCGGTGCTCCCGGTAAATTTTGATAATTTTCAAATAGCGCCTACGGCCGTACAATGGTAGCTGCGACCATGAAAATTACAGAATATGTAGTTGGGATATATAATTTCCGAATGGGAACAACTAATTGGTAGATTTTAGTCAAGAAACATTGTTTTATAGCTTAATTTATATCTTGACCTTGAGAGGGAGCTATACAACATAGAGAGTTTATTTTTTACAATTTCATAACTTAAGACTCGATTTCATCCGCGACAATGATCACTGTAGGACCGCATATGCGTCCATTATGTTCATTTGAACCAAAATTCATGACCCCATACCAAAACTTTGTATTACCTTCTATAAACTTTGTAAGGCTTCGATTTCACAAAGGCTTTTGTAAAACCAAATATCAATTATCATTTATATTAATGACACGGTGGTGAAAGGGTGTGAGAAAGTCAGATCAGTGCCCAGTGTTCTTGTAGCGTTCTGATTTTTTTAATTTTTTTTTTAAACATATAAGACTTCATTGACTGGATTGATACAAAACTATTTTGATTTCGTTGTTGAAATAGATACTAAATACTTTTTACCTCATCTGAGTTTGTAGCCCTTCACGATTAAAATGTTCTAACTTAAATGTTAAATCGTTATTAAAAAGTGTCAAGGTTATTTTCAAAACCATTTACATTTCAACATGTATAAGCGTACTATTGATCGTACAATCGTATATCTTTTATCATTCGGTATATATCAATCGAATGCAACTGTTCGATAACTGCTTAATTGAATTTTTTCATTTTTGTTTTATTTTTGTAAAGGACAAAATGAACCAAGGCGAGGAATCAAGTTTAATCGTTATCCGATCGAAAGCTTACTTCAAGCAGATGCCGTTGAAATGATGGATATTAACGGTGAGGTGTTCCTAATCACAGCCAATGAGGGCGCCCCATTAAATTACGTATGCCAAAGTTGCGAGGTGGAAACTGAATACATGGAGATGGAAGAGGCGGCAGAACTAGCCGGAGGTATGGGTTGTACTTGTTATATTACTTTTAATATTCATTAAAAATTAGGTATTTCTGCTTGGAATAACCGTAGAATATCTAACCCTGACCATAGGACAATTATGTGAGGCGATTTGATGCAACTAATATCAAGTAAATCCCAAAATAGATGCTTGGTTCCTTTTTATCGGCATAAATCGATACATAAAACGATATCAGTAAGTCCTTCAAGTTTGCTCGCTCACTTCCCTCGTCCAAAATTTGTCCTTCATAATAAACTATTATCATTATACAACCACTTGACTTCTACGTATTATTTCAATGTCTATGTTAATAACTTCATCAATGAAAATAGTTATTTTTGCTACTATATTAAAGGTACTATGTCCCATTTGCAGGTCAAAAAAATGAAAAAGTTAAATTCCAACTGCATTTGAAAGATAATACTAATTTAGAACTTCCCTAAAAAAAAGTGGGGCTTGAAAATGTCTTCAAGTGTGAAAATAACGACTATTAGTTGTCAAATCGACTTTAGGGCTATAGAGCCCAAAAGTAATAGTCTTGATTTTCAGACAATTGTACCGAATGGTCATACATTTTACGCTGCGCAAAGATTCAATCAGTTTAATCTTGGCCATCACAATAAGTGGGTTATTGATGTAGACAAATGCTTATGTACCCTTTACAACTCTTTTCATGTATGTTATTACCAAAGAAGAAAAAGCCAGTCAGTCACTCAATAGTGTCTGACAGTGAAGTCTAGCAAGTAAACGGGTTTTCCTTGCATAATTTGAATATGAGGACACTGCTAACGTTTAAATTTCACAGATAGGACATACATGACATATTCGTAATTCCTGCAAAGTTCTACAGCATTTGAGGTTGGCTGCAAAAGGGACATAGTACCTTTAAGTTAGAATGTTGTATAAAACCAGTAATTGGTCCCTAGTAGGGCCATTGGTACAAATGTGTAAGACTCGGAGACCCGCAGCATAATTATAAACATATTTTTGGCCCACCTGGCAATGAAATACCCCTGGCCTAAGCCTAACCTTTATGAAACTAACCCTAACCCTTACAGAAATATTGGTTAAGAAAAGTTTGTAATAAACAAACGTAATATGTCGTTCCTGAATGGAGCAAATGGATTTAATACAGTAACGCCGAAAATTTAGATTCGTCTATTATTAGCGTCAGTTAGGCACATTCAAAATTGCCCTCACATCGTGATCGTGAACTCATTAATAATTCTTTGACGTGTGTGAAATAACCCGATAGTCATATTAAACATTGAAACAATTTTCCTTTCTTTTAGATTATTTAATTTCTGAACGTGTAAATCCCGAAGTAAGAAGAGCGATGACTGATCCAGCCCGACTCGGTAAGATATTTTCTATTTTTTCCTTATAGACTTTAAAGTATAGAAGGTTAAAAGGAAGTTTTTTACGTTCTTGCCTTTTCTATGGTAGAGAGTGTTTGTATAATTACACGTACATGTTGGTATATACGAATGATTCATGTGAATGAGTTTATTATAGGATCTATCCGAAGTCCAGTTGAGATTGTTTGCATCTATCGCACGAAGTCGTCAGGTCGAATACAATAGTTGTATATTTAAATTACTGAGATACATAATTATCTTATAGCGATATGATTTTTCAATTCAGATGACTATCATCAATAAAAAAATAATAAATTAATCCATCGAATTGGCACTCTCATGACTGAGTTTGACTGTTTTACAGGTCAGCTACGTATCAGCTTAGTCGATGGTCTCCAGGAACAAGGCTCAGAGATGATTGACAGACCAGTCTTCTTTGGTGGGCGTGGTATCTCGATGTTCAAAGTAAACCCCTATGGGTTGGACTTGGTGTGGGACAGTGGCGATTCAATCTCGAAGGGGGTGCAAGACTTACACCCCAACGCTTTCAACCATCCACCCTTCGGAAACCAAGAGGTCATGGAGCAATTAGTTATCCCTAGTAACCTCATTAACAGACGATGGGATAGTTGGTCTCCCTTCATGGTAATTATTCACTAATCAAATTCAAATTCAACAAGCCACTTTGTAGATAGCACTAGTACAAAATTAATTACCCGCAAATATCCACGGATCTTTTGAACATGGAGACGTCCCACTTTGTGTATTTTAGAATCAATACTTCCAAAGTGATGGAGGTGTTTCATGTATACCTTTTGTTTGCCGTCTTGAAAAGAATACTTCCACCTGTGTATCGTATAATGTACCGAAGTCGAATAGATGGATAATGATGACAAAACTTTCACGAACACGTATCCAGCAGTCTTATCGATGTTTTTTGTTGTTGCAGTTTTGTACAAATTAAATTTATCTGCCCATGCGCAGATTGTATCTGCTTATAATGTGGCTTATTTGATTGATCAAGATTCAAACATTCTCAATATTCTGCTAACGAAAATTCCTACGTTATACAAAATAATAAAGATGAAGGATAATTAAAATTCTATTTGATAATGTGAAGTACAAGACAAACAGGTACAGCAAGACAACTTCAAATTTTAAATTCAAATAGGTAACGTACCCTTATAATAGGCCGGTGTCTCGCGTGGTATTTATCTTTTGAAGTGAAAGGTGAAGGCAGGAAGAAGAAAGGGAAATGACATTTAATTGTCCTAAAGAATAATATCTATGTATGCGCTCATTATTTATTTCTTCACTGACGTTACATTACATGGAACACAGGGATATCAAAATGTATTCATGAAGTACATCCATGACTTTGACAGCAATTATTCTAAAATGGACAATGTGGGACTTCTCTATATGTTTAGAAGAGGTGTGGATATTCGGTTCATTTTGTACCATGTGTTAATTACGAACTGGTCTATATCGAAAGCGTTGTCCATTCAATGTATGAACATCACAATGACATATGGCTCAATTCGAACAGGTCTTCTTTTGAATATAGGGTATTGACAGTGCACTTGGGTTTATTTTTCTGAAGTCTTTGCCATGTTATTCGTCAAGTTTTAAACATTCATAATTTTGTTTTACCGATGAGGCTCGAGAAACAAAACCAAGGGGAAAAAAAGGGAAAATGTGGACAGAAACAACATTGGGATATATATGTAATCGCTTTGTTCAAACGCAATAAAGTTCTAATGTAATTCATTTAAAGCAAAAGCGTCGCAAGTGTAATATGCTTCATATTTCTTGAAAGCGAAGAGCTCAGTGAATACGCATAAGACCTTTGTCGCGTACGATTACCGTTTATTTACACGTTAACAAAATTGCAGCGGTTAATTTTTGTGGCGGTTTACCGCGTCATATCTGAACCGAGCATTTATAAGGAGCTACCGCTGCAGATACATTCACGTTTAACAATCCTATGGTTTTTCTTTGCATGGGACCCGAATGCCAGTCGCTTGCAATTGGCCAATACAACGTCACCCATGTGTATTTATACGTTAAAGAAAATTGCAGCGGTTATTTTTTTTTGCGACGGTTTACCGCGTCATATCTGAACCGAGCGTTTATAAGGAGCTACCGCTGCAGATACATTCACGTTTAACAATCCTATGGTTTTTCTTTGCAGGGACCCGAATGCCAGTCGCTTGCAATTGGTCAATACAACATGACCCACAAGGTGATCATCGTCGGCATCAAAGGTGCAAACGCCCTGGGTATTTTCACCGTGCCTCTCCTCGGTAACTACACTCAGCCGAACTTCGAATCTGTCTACAGGGACGGGGATATCCGTGGCAATGTGATGAAGAGCTACAACCAGATCTACCGCGCTGACGTTCTAAAGCCGGTCGGTGACCACGGCATCGGCAATCTAGACCCGGATTCAATTCAGTAAGATATTCTTCATCAATTTTCTCTGTTATATTAATATATTCAAACTTCAAAGGGAGTTTACTGCTAGAGGATGGGGTTGTAATTAGAATGTGACTAGTGCCCTTTTTGTAGGAAAATTCATGAGTTCATTCACTAGGGCTTATCGACAGTTCCTTTCAGTAAAAAAAAACAGCATCACCGGTAACGTCCGGAATCTCACGGGCACATGTACCCAATGAATTCCTCCCTTTCCGACAGCGGTTAGAGTTAGAGATGCGGACCTGTATTAGAGGAAAATTCTTAGAATTTTCTCAAAAGCTTAAGTTGTGACTTTATTTTTTTTATATCTCTAGAATACACTAAACTCATATTCCAGCTAAGTGTATAGAAAACAACATTTTAAGAATTTTCCTCTAATACAGGTCCGCATCTTTATTAGAACTAAGGAGAACAAAAATTACGAAGGAGGTTGGACATTTTGATTGAAAATGTTATACTTTCGTCAGTCATCAAGTATTGTTAGAAGAAACATTTACAAATTACAATAACAGTAAACAGGTTCATTGTATTTTGTACTTTTGTATTTGGTATTTATTAGATAAAATCAAAGGGAATACTCTATTTAAAGTGACTCGGTAACATTGCCTCAGATTCTGAAACAAAATCCTGGATTTAGCTCACGCTGCAATCATAATTATAAACATTTAGGTCAGTCAGGAATCACATGAATTTTACAAACCGATCGCCTGTCCGATTATCAAGATATTTATGATTGGTAATCGAAATTTCATTTTCGTCTTCCTCACAGTTTTTTTTAATAACAATACAGTCTATTGGGGAAATGAGTATGGTAAAACCGGTCACTCAAAGATTTTCAATTTTTTGAGGCACTTTATGATCATTTTGAAGGGCAATTTTTTAGGGCTTCAATATTACATCATATCACAGACACTGATAACACGTACGGCGATTCATCTCAGATTTAACATTGTTAAAGTATACCTTTAATTACGAGTGTTATTCTCTCTAAAATAGGTTTGTCCCCGCTGATAGGAGCCGTAGTCGCCCCCCTATGGTGTTGGTTACCAGTAGAGTGAGTGGCACCGTCAACCTTTATAGAATTTCTGAAGTTCCAAGGGCTCAGCTCCTCAGACAACAGAGTAAGTACATCGATGGTGGTGTCGTAATATATATCAAATCAACTCTCAATTAACAGAAGAAAAAGGGGACCTGGCAATAACTGGGGTAATAATAGCAGAGATCTCTGACAAGATGAATAACATTGATGATAATGATGATCTCTGGGTAAACACAATTATTATTATTATTATCAATAACATTGTTTTTATCTATCTTTTGACGCTGTAGACAAATATGTATACCCAAGGTAGTGTTTGACTTGACATCAAGTTTTATATTGGAGCACCTTGTGGCGGGGGGTGGAGGGGGGGGGGGGGGTGGTGGATTCCAAAGTGTTTTTGAGATAAAAATAGAGAAGAACTGAAAATAAAAAAATAGAGATTCATTCATCTAAAGTAGAAATTTGTTAGTATTTTTTGCATTTTCTTTCCTAGTGCATTTATTATATACATAGCTTAAGAAATTGAAAAGAGAAACACTCCATTTTATCATACCAAAGAAATCTTTTTCTCAAACATTCCAGAAATTAAATTGAGACATTCAAATGGCCAGAAAGTTTTTACCAATGAATCAAGGTTAGGCGCATTTGTGAATACAATAACATTTAATCCGGCGGTGCGTCCATTTATTCGAAATCGATATGATTATTAACTTTGGTTCTGAAGAAGAAAAAAAATCATAAATGTTGATAAAAAGAATACCCAGAATTTAAAGGAAATGTAAATAACGCTCATTTTTCTCTTCTTTCATCCTCATTTTTTTGATAAAGGAACTTCTCTTGATGGAGGCGTCGGATGCATAGCGCCCTCTACGACATTGTCATTGTTGTTCTCAATCCTGACTCTTCTGTACGTCACATTACGTCACTAAACCTCACAACTGTATGCTCAGAATATACTGATCACGTGATTATTGATTCTTTAACACTTGTGAAACAGTCATTCCACATTTGTGGTTCACCCCAATAACTTTCGATTCAGAACCCTAAAAAATATACCAGATGCATGAACAGACAGGGCAAAAATTTCCTCATAAACTGTGTCCATTTCTGTTGCATGACCACATTTGATCTGATCCCAGGAATTTCAATAAGGAAAATAAACTTTACAATCCCTAAACTTGAAACATTGAGAGGTTCAAGCCATTGTTTAATCGATTAAAGTGTCCTATTTTGATTTTCAACTTACCCATGTATATTGTATTGTACATGTAATATCTAGAAATATGTTAATACCTTAAAATACCTAAACAAGAGAAACATTTCATGTATTGCTGTAAATAGCCCTTTGTGAAGGAATGTAGTGTATATATTATTGAATTCAGTAGAGCGCATCGCTTTTTGGTTTTATACTATCATGTTTGAAACATGCTGGTAACCGAACGGTTGATTTACATATGAATTTATAAGCATTTTAATTAGGTATATTCAGTAACTATTAGTGGTCATCAGCAAAACTTGGATCCTACGTATGCTACTATTTTTTGATCTGCTTGTAATATTTTGCACTTCTCACTACAGACATTTACTTTTTTCACGATCTCTTCTCCATTTTGTTCATCATGCTCGCTGACTACGTCTGTCTTTTCTCCTCTCTTCTACATTTTGCATTCTCACTCATGTCCTTTCAAATCTTCTCCCATTTTCTCTTTCTCTCCCCCGATTAGTATCCAGGACGCCGTTTCTTGAAACCGTCATGAGTCTAACTTCTTGGACATCTCATTGAAACGTGTGTTTCAGAGTTAACACGCTTCCATGGGATGTCCATGAACTTAGACTCATGACGGTTTCGAGAAACTTGTTCCTGTTCTTTTTATTATCCCCATCCCCCTTCTCTTCCCTATGATCTCCTCTTTATTTCTTACTTCGGACACTGAGCTTTATAATTGTTAACAAAGTATACTCCGATAACGTGATTGCAAAGACCTTCGGAAAATCAACTTGATTTCAATTAATTTCAAGTAGGGTCTAATTTCAATAGCCTTGTAAATCACCAATTGACCATTAGAATGAGGTTTTAGGTAAACCAAATATGATTTCTTTGGAATATATATGACGGTATTGAAATATCTTTTGAGTTGATTTCTCGAAAGCCTTGCGATTGTGTTTAATGGATGCTCTGATAAATTATCGTTGTGTTTATCTTGAATTTATTGCAGATTATGATAAACGTTAAGTATAGTTTAAAATGTATCACATGACATAATTAAAGGATAGTATTAATAATCACATATGTTAATACAAATAAAATAACCAAACTCTTAATCTACATGTACTTTTCTTAAAGACATTCTTTAGATTATTTACTCCATAAGCGTATCAAACAAATTATTACTTTTTATTCTTCATATCTGACGAAACGAAAGTATAATGTATGTGGTAAAATTACCTCCAGCCAGTGTTGAATTACACACACTTTAACACTGGATGGTCAACTTATATCAATATCAATGTCTTTTTGTAAAGTTCTCATTAAAGTTCTTGCTTTGCTTTTATTACACCAGTTTGTTGACAATGCCCAATTATTGGATTTCAAATGGCTCAACTTAATCTTTCGCTACATTTTCAAACATTTTTTTAGGGGGGGGAGGGGAGGGGGCACTCAAAATACCAAGACATTAGTGTCTTGACTTATCATTCAGTTGTGAATTTTTGAAGTTGCAGTGAAACACAAACTAGAAATGCTATACATTACGAATGTTTTATCATCTTCGCTGTTGATAAAGAAATATAATTTTAATTGTAATGAAGGGGTGGTTTATAAACACGCGTGCGTTGATTGCATCTGGGATATTTTTAGTACAGAGCAAATGGGAAAGGACCTCGACAGATATGTCAACGAGTTACACGATTGTGCTTGATCGTTTTCAAACTCAAAAATCTATAACTGTTTCTTTCTTTAATCAGATTTTTGCTTAAACTATCAACTCTTCTTTTACTATTATTCTTCTATTACACCCAACTTAAAATCAGAACGGTCTTTCCATTTAAAGATGAGTTGAGTTTTGGTCATACGATTTCAACGTAAAAGAAACAGTCTGGAAGCAATATGTTGATTATGTGGCCCTTAAGAATCTGCGTATTCTATCAGGTTTTGGAATTATCATAGTGATATGAAACTGACCCAGTCTAGCTGAACGTCACATGCAATGCACACATAAATGTGTATGTAGGAGAAAACACATGTGTGATATGGTCCAAACAAGTACAGCTAGTTTTTTTTTCATATTTCAAATATTAGGGCATTTTTAGGGACACCTCTCCTATGACATGTCTTTTACAATGACATGAAAAGAATAAAAAAAGATCACAAATTCTTTACACATCCACAAGAACTCAACCTTTTTGTTTACTAGTTTATGAACGATGCCAATTCAATATTGTTAAGAGAATTTAGTGTATTGTGAAGAATATTACACTCTTTTTACAAGGTATTTCTTTGTAAGCAATTGATAGGGAAGCGTGAACTGGTCTCAACATTTAATTTGATTTTACAGAGAGAAAAACAAATCTGCAATATACATGTACATCGTCTAGAATTTGAAAGTATGTGAAAGGTCAATAAATATTAATATAAACAAAAATGTCAATGAACATGTATACATACAAAATATGTTAAAATATATAATAACAATATTAAGGATACTGATAATGATAATAATAAGCATAATGATCATAATATAAAATAATAATGATTATATGTCTTGTTTACCCAGGGTAGCATCATCAGTATTAATACTTTTCTTTCTGAGAACCCTGCAATAATATTATCAGCCCGGCTTTAATAAAGCTACCATGGTAAGACGCTCAAGCATTCTAAGATCAAGAAAAGTCCAAATTCTAACTTTGTCTATTTCATAATTTGCTGACTTAAATTCGTTTATGGACCATTATCGAAACCTTCCTGTGTTATCGAATTCATCATGACATCAGATAAACAAAAAATATTTATGAAACATACTACTTCAGTCATACTTTCACAAACAAATGGCTTGAAAGGTGATCACTCCGTTTGAAAAAGCCCCTTCGATCTTTTGAGAACTTTCATTCCTTTCTCTCTCTCTTTCCTGTCTGCTATTCGTTTCCGCAGTCTGTCGATGACTGCGTGTGCTTTAGCGTTTCCGATCAACTCTCGAAATCTTGACACACTCTCAAAAGTAAGCCTCTCAGAGAGCGGCATGCCTTTGGCATCCAGTATCTGTTCGGTTGTCAGAGTTCTGTTGATATTAACTTCGCTCTCTGTCCGACAGTCGATGACTAACTTGGCCGTCTTTTCCTCCTCTTGATGTGAGAACTTGTGATCGAGTCGATCCATCGCCGACACCATTCTGGAATGGGTCCGCCCGCTGTAACGACCGAACGGCCGCATCTCCGCCGTCGCGGGAATACTTGGTAAGAATTGAGGGCGCTTTCGAGCCTTGTTCTTGGCGCGGACGCTTTGTTGTAAAGCTGCATTGTATAGGAAGTGGTCTTTCAAGTTCGACTTCAGTTGTTTCTCTGTTGACTCGTACTGTGTCTGCTTCAGATGCTCCTTGAATTTCAATTGTCTGGTCACCCGCTCAAGTTCGCGATCTTCCATGCTATTGAGGGTACCAGCTCGACTTAAGATCTTCTGGCTTACCTGTTGCAGAGCAAGCCATCGGTCATGGCCGCTTGTGAAGTCACTGCTGAAGCCTTTAGCACCCGCCATCACCTGTGTATACAAAGAAAACAATCATTATCATTCCTGCTGGAAAGATTCGCTAGGAAAATGCATGTCAGAACAACTATCCCCGGATGTCATCCTACTGCGATGATAAATCTTGAGACACCTAGTCACATTGAATTATCCATTGAGAAAACTATCCAAAAGACGAGGTTCCTATACCATTCAAATTATGTCCATCAGGATTTAGAGGCTAGGCACGTCATAGCTTGTGCCCCTCCCTTGCCATTTTATGCATTTGCAAGGATCAAAATGCGTCCCGTTGCCAGTTTGTCGTTTCAGTACGCAATTATTTATTTATTATACTGGCCATTTTTATTTTTCTATGTCAAAATGCCGTTCATTCAAATCAGGTTCTGAGCATTCTTAAACTCATTTTAAAGCCCATCTGTAATAGTTTACAGGAGGGATTAGACCACCCTGCAAGGTCACTGGACAGATCAAATCAGCTCTCAGTTAATATAAGATAAAGAGGATCATGGGGGACCAATGGTCACCGATTAGGCATTGTTTGCTACATAAAGGGCGCAAGTAGCTATAAGTAGTACAAGGGAGATTTAAAAGGTGTTGTATTTCAAAGCACAATATTCATTGTACATTAAACTAGTCTTTTATCATATTAAAGTGTTTTATAGACTTTGTTTGTTTAAATGCTTGACAATCCTAATGATTTTTTTTTTAATGGGGAAAAACAAAAACAAAAAATACACAAAAAATAAATTAAAAAAAAAAAAAAAAATACGCCCGCCCGCCCTAACTTCAGAAAAGCAATCGAGGACAACCAAACAATTTTTGGTTTGGCCTTAGGGTAGGGCCAAACTCAACAGCAAGAATAAAGCACAGTATTGTCATTACCCCGAAAACATGAGGTACGGTAGATATTACGCTCTCCAGTAGGAAATTTCTAAAGCGTTCGAGTCCTAGAGAATTGATCGCCCTTCGGATATAGATATCCGATGTAGTTAGGCTGTGACATTTCTTAGGGTGTACTGTCTCAAACGGTAGTCAAGAAAGTAATTGCAAATGTTCAGCTTTACATGTACCATTACTAAATCAATGATTGTATCCTGCAGTATATGGCGCAATCATAACGGTGATAAAAGGTGTAATTTCATTGGTAACAAATTATATCCACCCATCGAGTGACAAGCTGTGAATATTCATTATGGTATAAGTTTGCCCCAAGATATAGTCGGCAATTGGACGTATCTCCATCGCGACTGATGCCCTAGAGTGGATAATATTAACATCTGAACACACTGGGCAATTGACTATGTATTCTTAACTGATTTTTTATATTTCATTTAAACATCATGTGAAAAAAATGATTTAGAATATAATGAAACGACCGTATTTCGTTTGGTACATGAAGTTGTACCAATGAAACTAGACCGCAATATTGCCTTACTGTACAATTTTATTTATTTATTTATTACCCAATGAACGGCTGTAAACTTCGTTGCATTTGATGTCAGATTAAGATTTTTGAAAGGGTAAGTTCTATGCTATACATTTTTGACGTGATATTGCCTTCTTTCTTTCCTAAGCGTATATTCATATATCTTTATAGAAGTGGTATTATATACAAATATGTGTCTGGCTATTTTATTCAGATATTTATGTAAGTATTGCATGTGCTTTCTGTAGATCAAACCCACTGCACTAACTAGTTTTGTTGAATCGAAATCATTATTCCCTCTATAAACAATTTCATTTTAACATTTTAACATAAAACGTTTCTACATAAAAGGAATGAAATGGTGGAAAAGTGAGATTTGAGAATTTATCTATCTAATATATTACCTCGATTGAGTAAAATCTTCAAGACATGCAATCTTCATGACTTAAAACCTTCATGAAAACGGAAATGAGAATGATTGTGTGCGATAGAGACTAACTGAATCACAATGCCACATCAATATCCTGTCTACTCACCTGATTATATATGTCCTCCAAAATTTATTCGAGATATTCAATATAATTCCACGTTGTCATTCCATTTCACCGCAACCATAATTACGTTTATGGTTCTCAAACTGTAATTGGCGATTCTCCACGAGTCTGAATAAGAATCCCTGTGTCAAGCCCAGTCCTGCAATCTCGCAATTACTTTCGCTAGGATCGACACAGTCTTACAGGTGTATTATCAATATCAGGTAAGGTGTAGATGGTTGTTTAGCACTCCGTTATGTTGGTCACTATATACTGATATTCTCTTGAAGTAATCCTTTACCTCCCAATAATATCGACTAATGCAAAACCAACACAAAATGACGCTCCCCGCCCAGACAGACAACAACGGGCTTTTCACAGCTAACTTCTCCCTCTTTATTGACCGTTATAAAGCAATGAAAGGGGCATGAGGGGGTAATCGATGTTGGATAAAAGCGGTCGCTAGGGATTAGATGGATTAAAGATCGCCTGAAACACTTCGTGAAGCTGCGGACCATGAAGAATTGAATTGGGAGTATGCGGAAGATGTTTCTACACCACCTCCTGACAATGGTGTTTACGATTTTACCCTTAAATATTTTCA